GTAACGCTTGTTAGGTGTAACGTCTAATGTAACGCATGTTAGGTGTAACGTCTAATGTAACGCATGTTAGGTGTAACGTCTAATGTAACGCATGTTAGGTGTAACGTCTAATGTAACGCATGTCAGGTGTAACGTCTAATGTAACGCATGTTATGTGTAACGTCTAATGTAACGCATGTTATGTGTAACGTCTAATGTAACGCATGTTATGTATTACGCCTAATGCACCGCATGTTACGTATTACGCCCAATGTAACGCTTGTTATGTATAACGCCTAATGTAACGCATGTTGCGTTGCATTACTGTTGAGTCCTACTGTTCGATCAATGTATTGTTATTAGATGACGTTGCTTATATATACTTAAGCAATTGAGCCTTTATATATATCATATATATATATATATATATATATATATATATAAGTCAGCATTTCATTTCGAACTCTCCGTATTGTGTAATGTTTGAGGGGAAATAGTTTCAAATTATTCAGAGTACATTGGCGTGCATGATTAATGTAAAATTACGGTTGATTAATGTAACATTGCGTTTGTCAGGATATGACAAACGCAAGGGCAAATCGCTAGAAACAAGAGACTTCGATTCATGATCAACATTTAAATCCAATTTGATACTTTCAAATAATTCTGAACGCGCATGCAATTTTCCACTCTCTTTAGGTCCATAACACGAAGGAATTAAAAATTGAAAATATCCAATTACTTGCACGTAAGATGACACATATGGGTTCAAAATGAGTACGATGTACAAGACGAGCTAAAGTAAAGGATAAAGTAAAAATTCTTCGCCAAACTCCAGGCCCTCAATATTATGGGTAAAGGTAAGTTGACTCACTTGATGGCAAAAGTTTAACACTATTACAATGTACAAACCTGGAAAATTTTCATCAGTTCCTCCAGGAGATAAAGCGAGCTGATTTAAACACCGTCGTTATCAACGAATCAACATGGCAGTCAAAATCATATTTTAATGTTCGTTTCTGATCGAAGACTTCCTTGGCAGCAATGATTATTATTTTAAATTATTGGATTATTATTTTTTCTCAGTTATTATCATGTCCAAATAAATGTAGGTGCGCTTCATTTGGAGTTGGCACATCAAAATGGCAGAGTATATTTGTAGTGCGTATTACATACGTTCAGTTTAAACTTTCCTACAGTGTGTTTCATGACCTGTTCCTGCTACTACTTTTCAAATACAACCTAACAAGCAAGGCAAACTTAACCTGCTTATATAAGATAAGTTTTAAGAATAGCCTTGAGATGAGATAAGCCTCGAAAAATAAAGATACATTTGAGAAACGTTGACTGAGTTGAGTTTTTTCAGATTAAGTATGAAATTTGAAGATTGTCTTAAGAAGGACAAAACTCACTCGGTCCAGTCGGTGTAGTAGAAGTGGTGAAGGTAGAGTGTCAGGCTGAAGGCTCTAAGGATGAAGTTATAGACGTGAGATAAGGACAGAACTCACTCGGTCCAGTCGGTGCAGTAGAAGTGGTGAAGGTGGAGCGTCAGGTTGAAGGCACTACTAAGGGTAAAGTTATAGACGTGTCATAAGAAGGACAAAACTCACTCGGTCCAGTCGGTGTAGTAGAAGTGGTGAAGGTGGAGCGTCAGGCCGAAGGGATACTTGGGCCCCCGAATGACCGTGCGTCTGTCGTGGCCGTTCACACCGACGCACTCTGAACACACATATAAATCTACTAGAAATCTACAATAAAAATATTTGAATCCTCAAATAAATTGTTAAAATAACATTTTTAATAATTAGATTCTTCGCTACAATTTTATTATTCTTATACTAAAGCAATTATCAGTAATTATAAGCACGATCAAATCTATTTGATTTTACCAAAAGGAATCACGACCAGACGCAGGTGTCATGTCTGTCACATGGATTACAATGACAGCCAGGAAATTCTTCGAATGAACAGACGGGAACTACTTTGACTGTCCAGACATGAATTACTTTGATGACCATAACTCAATGTCCCACTAGTAGGTACATATCAGCCCATGAAATGCTACCAATATTTCTGATAAGCAGACACCGATTTCAGCGACGCCTGTCAATCAGGTTGACTCATCAATCACTTTAAACTCCAGTGAAATTCGAAATTTTCCATATATTTACATATACAGGGTGAACTAGAATTAACTGACCCTTTTAATTTGTTAATAAATAAAAAACTAAGAACGTTATGAAGTTGAAACTTGTTTTATTTAAAAGAAGAACATTTTTATGGTAATATTGTATCCAAGTTTTTAGGATACAATAACTAACTAGGATACAATATTACATACAATATTTTAACTAATACATATTATTAATACATTATAAATATTTTAACTAATACAATAATAAAATATCGTAATAGGATACAATATTTTAACTAGGATACAATATTACCATAAAAATGTTCTTCTTTTAAATAAAACAAGTTTCAACTTTCATAACGTTGTTAGTTTTTTATTTATTAACAAATTAAAAGGGTCAGTTAATTCTGGTTCATTCTGTACTTTCGGCTAATTAAGGAAACACAGATAATAAGAACTCCTGTAGCACCCGAACATGATTGACTAGTTAATCACCAAACTTTTTCACCAAATTGTATCTACTTTCTGCGAAGTGAACACAGATGTTAACAACCCCTGAATCACCTTATCATGATGGACTTGTTAAGGATAAATCTTTTTCAAGCTTCATAACACTCTGCAGATGTAAACCTAATTTCTACTATTTAAATACCGATTTTAACAACTCCTGTATCACCTTATATTGATGAACTGGTTAATGACAAATCTTCTTTGTACTTTATCAGATTTTGCAGTTATACACCTAATTTCTACTATACAAATACCGATATTACGAACTCCTGTGTCACCCTATAGTGATGACCTGATTAATGACAAATCTTCTCTGTGCTTAAATACATTTTGCATATATATATACCTAATTTCTAATATTTTAATGCCGATATTACGAACTCCCGTAACACCCTATAGTCATGAACTGGTTAATGACAAATATTCTTCGTACTTTATTAAATTTTGCAGATAAACACCTAATATGTACGTTAATAACGTAAATACCGATCTTGTTGACGCCGGCATCGGCCCAGCAGAGAGTGGAAGTCTCGAAGTCGACGACGAGTGAGTTGGGCAGCTGGATGTCCTTGTCGACCAGCACGCGGCGGTACGAACCGTCCAGCCCAGAGGACTCAATCTTCGGGCCCTCTCGGTTCCAGTCCGTCCAGAACAAAAGCCTTACAACACAATTTGAGGGACAGAACCGTTATGTAATTTCAAACGTATTTCGAGTTGCAGAAATCAAGTATTCAAATAAGTAAATTAGAAACTCGTATGGTTTTTATTTTCTTTGATTGTTTTCGTATGGCTTCTCACATGCATTGGCGGTTACTGATAACTTAATCCATTTATAGCAGAGTATAGTAGACCGTAACTAATGTGCATCTGACTTCATTTGACAAAGAAGGCTACCCCCATTTATAGCTAGACTTCTAACAAAGTAATCCGAGTACAATAATTATAATTATATTAAAATTTACATTCTAACCGCATGCACTGTGATCTCTACCGAGCAAAAACTAACGAATTTCATGTTCTTCTTACTTCTTGAGCGTATAATGACAGAATAAGTAATAATCAATAGAGATGTCGTTAGTTCTCTACCCTCTGCCGGGATGGACGGCGATGCCGCGCGGGTTGACGAGGTCGCCCGTGACGACCGTGCGACGAAGACCGCCTTCGATGGACGACGCCACGATCTCGTCGTTGCCGGAGTCTGTCCAGTAAATGTTGCGCGAGATCCAGTCCACAGCCACGTCCTCAGGAGACCCGATAATGCCTGCGCATAATGTTTCATCCTCAGATTTAGTTAATTAGCGCAAGTTTTGATCCGGTGATTTTCTGTCTCGACTCTCACAGCTCTGATCGGCTCATGACAGCCCTCTTCTTGACTCACCCATACATGTGGCCCAGTCCAAGGCGCAACTCACCCATTCACATGACACACCTTACCCATGACCATGTCATGACTCACCCATGACCACGTCACAACTCACTCATGCACACGTCACAACACACCCATGACCACATCACAACTCACCCATGCACACGTCACAACTCACCCATGACCACGTCACAACTCACCCATGACCACGTCACAACTCACCCATGACCACGTCACAACTCACCCATGCACACGTCACAACTCAACCATGACCACGTCACAACTCACCCATGACCACGTCACAACTCACCCATGACCACGTCACAGCTCACCCATGACCACGTCACAACTCACCCATAACCACATCACAACTCACCCATGCACACGTCNAACTCACCCATAACACGTCACAACTCACCCATAACACGTCACAACTCACCCATAACACGTCACAACTCACCCATAACACGTCACAACTCACCCATAACACGTCACAACTCACCCATAACACGTCACAACTCACCCATAACACGTCACAACTCACCCATAACACGTCACAACTCACCCATAACACGTCACAACTCACCCATAACACGTCACAACTCACCCATAACACGTCACAACTCACCCAAAACAAGTCACAACTCACCCATGCTAACGACAGGCTTGCGCTCTGTGCCGTCGTAGTTGCAGGATCGTATTGTGCTCGTGCGCACGTCAGTCCAGTAGTAGCGGCCAGCGAAACAGTCCACGTCCGCGCCTGGTCATGGCCACGAGTTAACTAATGGATCACGAGTACTAAATACTTATACTATTGAATTTAATTAAACTATTTATATCGAATTAGGGTCATTATATGATTAATAAACTGATTGAAACCCCTAAATAATATCGAAAAACTCATACGAGTTGCCAAATATAATAATTCTGCGGTATGTACAGCACTCATAATAATAATAATAATAATAGTATTAATAATAAAAATAATAATAATAATAATAATAATAATAATAATAATAATAATAATAATAATAATAATAATAATAATAATAATAATAATAATAATAATAATAATAATAATAATAATAATAATAATAATAATAATAATAATAATAATAATAATAATAATAATAATAATAATAATAATAATAATAATAATAATAATAATAATAATAATAATAATAATAATAATAATAATAATAATAATAATAATAATAATAATAATAATAATAATAATAATAATAATAATAATAATAATAATAATAATAATAATAATAATAATAATAATAATAATAATAATAATAATAATAATAATAATAATAATAATAATAATAATAATAATAATAATAATAATAATAATAATAATAATAATAATAATAATAATAATAATAATAATAATAATAATAATAATAATAATAATAATAATAATAATAATAATAATAATAATAATAATAATAATAATAATAATAATAATAATAATAATAATAATAATAATAATAATAATAATAATAATAATAATAATAATAATAATAATAATAATAATAATAATAATAATAATAATAATAATAATAATAATAATAATAATAATAATAATAATAATAATAATAATAATAATAATAATAATAATAATAATAATAATAATAATAATAATAATAATAATAATAATAATAATAATAATAATAATAATAATAATAATAATAATAATAATAATAATAATAATAATAATAATAATAATAATAATAATAATAATAATAATAATAATAATAATAATAATAATAATAATAATAATAATAATAATAATAATAATNAACACATGCCACTAACCCATGCCACTAACCCTTGCCACTAACCCATGCCACTAAACCATGTTACTAACCCATGCCACTAACCCATGCCACTAACCCTTGCCACTAACCCATGCCACTAAACCATGTTACTAACCCATGCCACTAACCCTTGCCACTAACCCATGCCAATAATCCATGCCACTAATCCATGCCACTAACCCATGCCACTAACCAATGCCACTAACCCATGCCACTAACCCTTGCCACTAACCCATGCCAATAATCCATGCCACTAACCCATGCCACTAACCCTTGCCACTAACCCTTGCCACTAACCCTTGCCACTAACCCATGCCACTAACCCATCCTACTACCCATCCCACTAACCCATCCCACTAACCCATGCCACTAACCCATGCCACTAACCCATGCAGCTGAAGCCGTCTCCGATGAAGCCGCGCTGACACTGGCACGAGAAGCCGAGGCTGCTGACAGGGTCTGGCTGACAGGCCGCTTGAGTATGACACATGGACGGGTTTTGCTGACACGACTGTGTCGGCTGACAGTAATAACCGTCTCCTGTGTACCCCTGAGGGTGAAAGCACGAGTGCAAGTAACCGTTTAATGTATGAAGTGAATAAGCTCAGTTAATGAGTTGGTAAATAACTATCTCATAAAAACACACAAAATAACACGTCGTTCGGTACCTCGTTTTCTATTACGGTTGCACAGAAAACAAGAAAAGTTTTTCATTCCTTGGCGCCTAAGTCTGCTGGAAGAAAGTAAATTTTCATATGATCTCTCAACGATCACTCCAAATAAATATCGTGTTATTTGCAGTTTTTCGTTGAAATGTACGATTAAGCTAACAACTCGAAGAGGTATGTTAAACTAGCCGCTCTCACCTTCCTATACAATTAAATCACCTTCCTATACAATGGTACAAATATAATTTTTAATAAACGTTTAACTTAATATAAGATTACCTGTTGGCACATGCACCTGAAATCCCGCGGTGCAAACTCGATGCACCTGGCGAACTGGCCGCAGTTTTGCAGTATCTTGCAGTTAAGCTGTAGGCGAGGTTTAAAAGTCATTAGCTGGATTAACTGGAGAAAATAAGCACGTGCGTATTTTTATTCATTTTATTTTTAGCAAAGTGAATCTAAAGCTAAAACCAAAAAAGTTGGAACACGGGAATTTTTAACCTCTTTCATTGACGAGAAATTTTTACTGTATTTGGCATAAGCACCTTAGAAATGGAAATAAATCGAAAATGGAAAGAACAATTTTGAAAGATGATAGACTCCCTACAGCCGGTTGGAGATTATCTCATAAACAGTCGGAATAAAAGTATCAAGCTTGAAAACGTGACTAATACCTAATAATGGACAATTATTTAAGGAGGAAAATTGCGTTATGGATCATGCAGAGTCAAACCAAAATACTAACCAAAAATGGTAGTCTGTCTGCGGCTTCAGTACTTTCGAAGAAGTGAGGAATGTCAATATGAATGGAAGAAAACCTTATTACATACAGTACGAGGTAATAAGATTTCTTTTAAACGGGTAAGTAAGTTAGAGCGCATCACAGATAATTATATTTAGGAAGCCACCACATCGACACCATCTTAACCCAAAAATTGAGACCCGCAGTCAGACTGTGCGAGATCGCTGAGGAACTAAAGCCGAGAGCACGAGACTTTACCATGAGGAAGAGAGAGACTGACTCGGGAGGATAACTTGTTTGTGGAACAACCAATTGATGACGAACAAATGATGAATTAAAGCCAATGAACTGGGTGAACTTTAAACAATTTGCTAGTAAATATAATGATAGAAGATAAAACCTGGAGTTCACTGCAGAATTTTCCGTCGCCTTCGTAACCAGGTCGGCACTGGCATCGATGTGTGAGTGCCACGGTGTCGAAGACGCAGTCAGCGTGGTGATGGCAGTCGTTGATGATGTTGCAGTTGGAATCTTGACCAAAAAATTCCTTTACAATTATAGCGCCATAATATTAAAGCTCGTTTCAATTGCAATCATCGATATTAAATACTAAATATCTATTAGAAGTTAGCATGAGTACAGTGTGCAGAGTAAACGAGGGGCCTCAGTTAGTAGGTACCTGTTCTGATGAGAGCAGATCTGTCTGGAAACAAATCTACGAGTGTTCTTATGCACAAGAGATGTAGGGGCCAAGTTGTATTGCTAACTTCTGTACTCGAGATGTATAGATTGGTGTATATTACTCGAGATGTAAAGATTGGTATATAGTTGAAAGTTGTGGTGTATAGCGTACCGTTTTCTAAAGTCAAGCATCCGCTTCAAATGTCCTGTAAATATTGATTTACGGTCTTCCCTTATTTCTATATTGGTGTCAACCTAAATATTATATATTAAAATGAAATACTTTTCATTTTAATATTGTATAATCAATAATTAGTAAAAACTTAATTGATTAAATGTTTGCTAAATTATATTAATATACCATTACTTATTTTAAGAACACTAAATTCAAAATCAATTCAATTCGCCAGAACAAGAAGACGACAGTCGCTCGGAAGCAAAAAATTAGATTTTTTGCACCAAACACTATTTATTCTACTAAATATTTCCGTTCAAAGCAGATTTAAAATTCAACTGAGGGTTGCCACAAGATCCCTCGTGGTGCACGCACCAGGCGAGGGCACACAGCTCCTGCCGTCGCCCAGGTAGCCCGGGTTGCAGCTGCAGCGGTAGCGCTGCGTCGCGTCGTCGTAGCCGCACTGAGCGTTCAGGTCGCAGTCACGCAGACTGTTACAGTCGTCTGCAAAATAAACCAGATCAGCCGCTTTACATATTTTTACTTTTTAGCGCATTTTCTCATTTATGGAAAAATGGCGCTATTGTGCTCGTCATGACCGTCAGTCTCTATGTCTGTCCGTCTGTCTGTCCGTCCGTGACTTCACGTTTTCGTCGACGAGAAAACACGCTCTCTGTCACTCACTGCAGTGAGTGCTGAGTTTTATTTATTTCTTTTTCTCTCTTCTTTTTGTCACTCATTTCCAAAACATACAGCAATCACCCAATAGTAGCTTTTTCTGTGAGTGTCATTACAGTGTTTAAAACAAACTTACCTGAATTTTGCCAAGCCAAAAATACCCTAACCTAACCGAAGCGAACGAGGTGCATTCTCATTCACTGCGCACTATATGGCAGTGTATTTCTACGTCATGACCTTATGGGTCATTTGTGATTTAGAAAATTCATCAAAAGTCCATCTTGGCAAACCTAATTTCGGTTCCATGGATAGATTTTCTAGACTGTTATGCGATATATCAATAACCTTGCATCAATGAATAAATTAACTCAAATGAATATACTTCTAATCAACTTCTAAGTAAGGGTAATTCGGCAGAGCAGTAAAAAACTTTTTTAAAATGTGGGCCAAGAAATTACAACTGCACACACATCAGATGGTTCACTCATTACAAATGAAAGTCGAACCAGTAATACAGGTAGTTTCAATTGAAAGATCTTTCAAATTTAATTTCAAGTGAAATATTAATTTCCTCAATGAAACTACACAAAATGATACTAAAATCTGTTTGCATCTCACGCACGGAAACAAGCTGTTTTACATGCGAGTACTAACATACATTTGGGCGGAAATATCATGTCATTACCGCACAGCTTTTGCGTGCGCAAGATGACCCGTAATCTTACCGCATGACTCGAATTACTCATAGAATAGAAGTGTCGGCGTTGAAGAAATAGGCCCATGGCCTGTTGCCGAGTCTTGAATTTTTCGTGACTTGATTCACAAGGGATCCGGCCTTTGGAACCCGATTTTTCCATAACTGACGATAAATTGAGATAGCTGCTGGACTTATTGCCTGGTCCGTAATTTGCTAGGCATTTTAAGACTGAACATATGCTCTTGCATAGCTTCGTCTAGTCTGTTTTTGAAGATGTTCATACTCGGAGCTTCAACGATGCTATCAGGGAGGCTGTTCCACATGTCGGTGACTCGAATCGAGAAGAAATGTTGTCGCATGGATGTGTTCCAACGCTGTTTTTTTAGTTTATAGCCGTGGCCCCTGGTGTTGGTTCTTTTTTCAAATTCTAGTAATCCTTCTGGGACCTTGTATAAGCCATGAGTATAAAGCCGGCAACATTCCTTCGTTCAAAGTTTTTCGAAAAAGTGACGTCAGAGGGCCGGCTAGGACAGTTGCTAACTCTTTGAGTAATCTGGGTTGGACTCATACCGAATGCGAAGCTTCAGTTTTGTAGGTATAAACTGATATACGTAAACTGATCTGATCGTAAAATGCCCTTTGATCGGATTTTCTGTCCTTGATTTCACACTGTGTGGTAGAGAGTTATTGTAAATACATCAACTTGCACTTGAGTAACAAGTTAAGTAACTGCATAGAACCACAAACATGGCTGCTCCTAGGATGCGTTCTGAAAACAATTCACGGGTTACCGATGTGAACGATAATCAATTTTTTGCTACGAAAGCTCGAATTAGCTTAAGTTTTATGAGAGTTTATAGCCAATTATTCATTGTAGACAGAGATGTTTTAAAGTATCACGCACACGCCTTATAGCCCCTGTCACTCGCCCGTATACACGCCACAGAAGTACACAAGCACTCACACACGTTACCTGCCACACGCACTCGTGATCCGTAACCACGTGATAAGTACAATCAGGCATGAACACGAATACACGGGCCTACACACATAATATGAGCAGAAGAACAGCAAAGCACTAACTATCCCTCAACAGCACACGCACGTACTGCACGCACACGCACGTACTGCACGCACACGTACGTACTGCACGCACACGCACGTACTGCACGCACACGGACGTAATGCACGCACACGCACGTACTGCACGCACACGCACGTACTGCACGCACACGCACGTACCTTCAGGCGTGCATACGGTGCCGTCGCCCACGTAGCCTGAGATGCACACGCACACGGAGCGCATCTCGAGGTCGTCGTGCAGACACTGGGCGTTCACGTGACAAATGTTCACTTTGTCGCACGAAAAATCTGGAGACGCAAGAAAGAATGCCATGAGTAACTGTTAAATTAAATTATATTCTCTTGTCTCCTGTAAAGTGGGTAGCCTTACACAGCTCATGAACACGCACGAGGCTTCTGTCACAAAACAGAGCGCTCGAGTTACTGTGATACAAGGAGGGTGTGCGTCGCCACTGTTACCACTTTTTGTGGTGTTAGTGCTAGCTCTTTAAATGCATGTTATACTGAAGTATATCAGCGGAAAGGCTGCAAGAGAGTGCAAGGCATAGTAAAAAGTGTTGTAACGAGTGTTAAAAAGTGTTTTAAAAGTTTTTCATTTAATTTTTCCGGACAGAATCCAGGCAATACAACTACTTCGATTCGCTAGGAAGTACTTGCTAAGTCAACAGGTGCAAGTGCCAACAAGAGAACACAATATCCTGGATCTATTCTTCACCAGCAATGAAGAACTGGTTGCTGATATTCGTGTTGAGGAGACCGCACTGCCAGACCATAGACTAGTAGTGGTCGAGACAACAATTGAGAGGGCAAACCAGCTCAGACCTACATCTCGAGAGGGCCTGGCTGGGCTACATTTTCACCATCAAAGAACGGACTGGGAGGCCATTGGGAACGAACTCCTCGAAGCCTTCTGAAGAACCGAGTTCCTGGAGTTAAATTCCAAAGCAATGTTCAAGCTGTGCCATGTATGACTGCAGGTATGCGCGCGTCACACGCCGGCATGAACGACCCCAAAACGGCACATAATTCCAAGAGACAGAAGAACCCTCATGAGGAAACGATCGATTGTGAAAAAGCAAATAGCGGCTGCCTCCAGGAATATGGAGAGGTGGAGGCTGGCGCATCTAAAAGAAAAAATTTAGGGAACGCAACGACAGCCGCGGGACTCACACGAGGCTTAGCAACAAGCATAGGAGGTGCGAGCGGTGGCTGCCATTCGGGAGAATCCCAAATATATCTCAAAAATGCCCAGTCAAAGGCCAAAATCGGAGCATCAGTGCGGCCTCTGAAGAATAATGATGTAATCATTAGAGACGACCAGGGCATGTGCTAACTGCTAGGAACGCCGTTTGAAAAGCATTCAGCAAACCCCGATACTCAAGACAGGAGAACGAAATTGGAATTCTTCAAGAACTGATAGTGGGCGAGTGCTAACGAAGATTGAGTTCGAAACACCGGATCTAGAGAAGAGTATCCAAGAATTATCGACTTATTCGGCTCTTGGTACAGATGGATTCCCTGCAGTGTTACTGAAAAAAATGTGTCGGTGCACTATAGGTCCTTCTGACTCTGCTCTGGAAAATATCATTGCGTGAGGGAAACTTTCCTAATTACGTAAAATTAGGGCGAATAATCTCATGTATAAAGGAGATGCGAAAGACAAACCCTGAAAAACAGGCCGGTTGCATTAACATCACATGTACGTAATCAAAGTATTTGAGAGGGACGTGGCCAGAAGGTTGATGCAGTACATGGAAGAAGCTAAATTTTTCAATAGAAGACAACACGGTTTAAGCGAGATCGCTCCTGTTTGTCGCAGTTACTGGAGCATCACACCAAATACTGGTCGCGTTGTGAAGTGGTTTATTTAAACTTTGCGAAAACGTTTGACCAAGCTGACCATGTTGTGTTCCTCAGAAAATTAAGGCTACTGGGTGTCCGAGGCGAATTGTGGTACGGATCCAAAACTTCATAATTGAAAGACTACAAGCTGTCGTTGTTGGAGGCTTAAGATCGAGTGAAGCGAGGGTTAAAAGTCGAGTACCACAGGGAACGGTACTCGGCCCTATACTCTTCTTCATCCACATCGCAGACATAGATGTGACAGTAAACCACGTCTAGTCATTCGTGGACGACAATAGGATACTAATGACTATTACGGACAGGACAGGCTGCGAGAGGATGCAAAAAAACCTCTCTGTAAAATATGACTGGGCCGATTTGAACTACATGCAGTTCAAGGGAACCAAGTTTGAGATTCGGAGATACAAAGGTAGCAGAAGAGCTGGTATGGAGCACCGCTACCTGGAACCTGACGGCTCGGAAGTCGGAAAGAAGCGACTCGTCCGCGATCTAGTGTAGGAGCGTTGACGAATACTCAAGTCAAGTATAGTGATCACATAGCGGCAATAACCGCAAGAGGCAGGCGGCAGATGGAGTGGATTTGGCAGACGTTCAGAAAAAGAGAAGCGGAACCGATGATCACACTCATCAGAGCCCTAGTGATACCTCTCATTGAAAACTGCTTCCAGCTCTAAACCACGTTCACACTCAGCGCAGTACGGCACCTGGAAGAGATCCAGCGAACCTTCAGTTCCAGGATCAGAGAGATGGAGGAGTTGAACTACTGAGGGAGATTGAGGCGCCTGAGTCTGTACTCACTGCAGAGGAGACTGTAGAGGTATGTCATTCTGTATACATGAAAAGTAATACATGGAATGGCACCAAACTTTGACAGCGAGACCTTCAGGATTGAAACATACCATAACGAGGGAAGCAGAAGACCGTGAAGGATTCCCCCACTACGTAACAGATCTGCGGTCAGATTTCAATGCCTTCGTGAAAGATCTTTTTCCGTGGCAGGGCCTAGGCTGTTTAACGTCCTACCGAAGGATCAAAAAGAGGGTGAGTTCACCCTGGATGCCTTCAAGAGACGACAGAACGTGTTCTTGGGCACATTCCCAGATCGTCCGCCCCTGTGCCACAACCACCGGCAAGAAGCAAGCAACAGCAAACTGGCCGGTCCAAATGATGGCGGGGGCTTGATAGTCAGAGGCGGCGATTCATCGTGGCCTGGGACTGATACATCCGAAACATAAACTAAGAATATACTGTGCTCACAGCCACCGCTCATGCCCTGGGCATCTTTGACGCCGACATTATAATTCCTTACCGGCCCTACTTACCGGCCTTGCACTGAGTGCGTTTATAAAAATACTTTTTTGTTCACGCCGTTGACATATGCAACACTATTACAAGAATTTAGTAATGATATCGCACTCGATTTAAAAAATACTTTGCCCGTCCACAACTGAGGAAGTCGCTTGACCGACCTTGCCGGATGCACGTGAAGCCGTCACCCACGAAGCCAGGGTTGCAGCGACACACGTGGAGGTCGATGTGAGGCTCATACACGCACGCCGCGTAGTCGTGGCACACGGCCTCCCCGTCACACGACACTGTTGGCATTCACGCTTGTCAAACAACACTGTGGCACTCACACGTGCCAGACGTCACTGTTGGACCTCGTGTGTCGCACGATACAATCGGTACTAACGCGTCAATCTAAACTGTTGGCGCTCACAGGTGTTACACGATCTGATAGCACCCACACGTTTCATACGTACTAACACTCAAATGTTACCTACCATGCTTAAGTCACATAGACAGTAAAAAGACACCATTATCATCTGGCACTCCATCGACACTAAGCGGCACAATTGGAAGCACATGAGCATATCAAATATGTACATTTTACTCCACAGCTGTTAATTGAATTTATATTTATTGTTTACCTATATGTTCAAAAGCTTGCATAGGAACTGTGAAAGTAGCTCTCTGAATGACAGAAAATTATAAATAAGTAAACGGCTGGTTGCCTCAAAAGTTTCCTGATAATATTTCTGTGAAAATTATTGTATCGAAATACAAACAAATTTACTACAATTGTATAGTTTACAGTGTATATTTAAGATCATTTGGTGTGTTGAATCCATGAATAGCTAAGCAAATTACACAAGCGTATTGGATGCAAGCATAAAAAACTGTCAAGTTAAGATACCCGAAAAGTAACATGGAAGGGACAACCAAAGTTAGTGTTAAAAACACACAAACAAGGACGTCCTAATAAATGCGTCCATTGCCCTGGCCTACTGATTAGTTTAAATTCTTTCACACAGAGCGCTGAGTTAGCCTTTAATCGTCATTCATAGTATATAATGTGTCAAATTTAGCATTGAATATTACGTAGAATTCATTCTTTTCTGGTTCATTTTCACCAAAGTCAAACATCGAATGAAAGTTTGTCGTATGCTACTAATGAAAAAATATATTTTTTTGCAACTGCTATGCGTAAATTCATTAAGAGATACTACTTTGCAGAACTCAAAGTTAAATCTAATTGATAAGCGGCATATTCACTGAACGAATGAAAGCCGTTCCCAACAGATGTGTCAATTCGAGTCAATTGAGTCTCTCAAAGAAGCTTTCGTTAAAGGCGAAAGGCGTAATAGTGATTAAGCCAATGTCCCAAATCAGCGTTTCAACACAATAAGAAAACGCATCCTACACTCAAGAAGTGAATCCTGTTTGTGGTGCAGAGGCCTTCCAGGCGCATACCCTGACGGAAAGACTGGATAACGTCCAGGATCTTCATGATCAATATCTTGATCATCGTGACGTCCTCGATCGTCATGATCTTGGTATGGATCAGCGTGACGTCCTCGATCATCATGATCAGGGTATGGAAAATCGTGACGTCCCCGATCATCATGATCAGGGTATGGATCATCGTGACGTCCTCGATCATCATGGTCAGGGTATCGATCATCGTGACGTCCCCGATCATCATGATCAGAGTATGGATCATCGTGACGTCCTAGATCATCATGATCAGAGTATGGATCAGCATGACGTCCTCGATCATCATGGTCAGGGTATCGATCATCGTGACGTCCTCGATCGTTATGATCAGGATATGGATCAGGAAATCTTGCTCCGTTCTGTCTCTGACCGTCAGAGTTGAAGTAATCGCGCGTTCCACCCCCTTTTATGCCGTAGTTGTAGTTGGGGCTGTTCGCCGGGTAGCAAGTTCTGCCGAGACCACGGAAGACGAAACCGAGCGGGCAGATGCAAGATAAAGGACTGCCCCTGCATTCTGGAACTGGGCGACCTTCTGCTCATCACATCAAATATTTTAGAGAGAAGGCTGATGAATGTCGCGAAGCCCTCAATGAATATATATTATGTGGGCGGCCATAACTGTAGGCAGGTACACGCAAAAGCCATCAAACTAACGATTCTAAATTTAGTATGGAACTATTAACGGTGACTTTTAGATGAACAGGTCATACTAGCAATTTCTACAGGCAATTGTTAAACGAAAAAAACTGATTAAATATAAATCCATCAAAATCTGTTCTACATCACTACATTAATAGCTAATAGGCAATTTTTATACTAGGCAGAACTACAAGCAAGTTATGAAACTTGTATTACATGCAGCCAATGCTAATGGTTAATGTCCCAGCAGGTTTATTATCACTAACTGCGATTGTTAAGGATAGGCACAAAAATACTATAACCATATCAGCCACACAGATAATAATATTCCATAATGACAATAAAACTTTTAATTTTTAACTTTAATATTCGAGGAATGAGTGTGACGATGAAGGAAAGAATGCTTAAACACGATTTAAACAATTCGATCAAATCTACCATTGAACAAGATGAGGTCTTCGTTTATTGGTCTAGTTCCCCAAGTACAAGTGGAATGTTTAGAAATCTGCAACTGAAGAGACCAACACAAAATAGTTGATTGATCACATTTGAAATATTTCGACTGATCACGTGGTAATGACATCTCACAATCATCAATAAATACTTACTAAGCGAATTGACACATTTTATGTGCTTTTAAACTAAAAATGTATGGAAACTAAGATGTGGCAATGAACAAACACGGTTTCTTTAATTCAACTTTGAAAAACCTGATGATGAATTTCGAGAGGTTGAACTGCTGGAAAATATGTTAAAGTTTTAAGTTCTACTACAGAAAAAATATTAGCATCAAACCATGGGATTCAAGTCAACTCTGTTGAGAAATTGTTCAAACTAAAAACGAAGCAAAACAAGAACTCGCTACAATCAGTCAGAAGTTACCGTCCAAGACGTTGCCCAGAGAGTAGTCAGGATACTGAGGTAGGCCATGTAGATCATCCCCAGCCTTTCCTGCTTCGTATGGAGGGCCGTAGGGTTGGGGAATGGATGGTTGGGGAAAGGATGGTTGGGGGAAGGATGGTTGGGGGAAGGATGGTTGGCGCTCATGTTGAGGTTCGCAAGTGTTGTGGGGGAAATGATAGTAGAAGCCGTCCGGGCACGCGCATGGAAACTTTCCGTCACAGTCTGGCGCCGGTCGCTCGTCATGATCTGAAATACTCTTCGCTAAATCCAAAGTTTGGAACTGAAATTTCACCCGCATTATTTAGTAGGCATGCTTGAACACTTGCTTTCAATTATTTGTCAAAAGAGAGTGGTAACGTAAAATATCAATTGTTTGTTTAAAATCCATATCCGGAAATTAATTATTATATATTTCTTACTTAACGAAGACTAAAAAAAGTATTGAGCACTAGTAGCTTCAACATATTCAATTGTTAAAAAAAGTTATTGAGATGGACCTCGACCTAGAATATGATATTGAAAGTATTTCATCTGCTGCTTACGAACTGTTAGATGACACGTTTGGCCTCTAAAGATTTCTATTCCTCGGAAAATCTGTCGAAAATGTCTATGAAATATGCGATTTAATCTAATTCAATCAATAAAACGAAGAATTCCACACCTCGACTCTTATCATATGAAATTTATTTTATGCACTAATTTCAGACACTTTAATTTCCAGATACTTGAACTTTTTTTAATTGAAGTTTAGACACATTTAGTTGATATTTGGGTATTCATGAATCATTTGGACATGGAAATTGAGTTGACTTCACTAATCAACGAGTGAATAACTCAGTAACATTAAACTAATAGTCTTTTCAGAATTTTTCAAACTATAGTATCTGAAGTATGGTATTTAAAATTTTCATATTAAAGTAGAGACTCCAGAAGAAAATCTAAAGGGATTATTGCATTAATAATTTCAATGCTGATTTGATCAGGGGCCATACTTGCAAAAATCGTTAAGTGAACGTAAGTACTTACGCTCTATTTTCTTGTTCATGATTGGTGGATTTTGCTTGAAAGGCCGTCAATGATTGGCTAATGAACTTGCGGTCTCGTAACTTTTTTTTGAAAGTATAGGCCCAGTTAGCCATTCTTAACACTCACCAGAAGTTGCTCGTTCGCAGACGTTGAAGCGAGGGTCGTACGCCCAGCCTGCAGGACACAGGCACTTCGCGTGCCCGCAGTACGGTTGCGGCCGCTGATCTGGGGGAGCAAATGAGGAAACTGTAGAAAACTTTTATCTTATTGAGTAGGGGCATAATGCGTCATATTAAGTAGGACGTCGGCGTAGTGCGTCATATTAAGTAGGACGTCGGCGTAGTGCGTCATATTAAGTAGGACGTCGGCGTAGTGTGTAATATTAAGTAGGACGTCGGCGTAGTGTGTAATATTAAGTAGGACGTCGGCGTAGTACGGTTAGAAAGGAAGCATGCGAGACTTATGTTCAACACTTCGATTATTTGTATCTTCGCGGAGCAGCGTTACGCTGCCTTCACAAATTTATTTTGTGCCATAATTACACTCTCTCAGTAATGATGAAAAGGTGTTAACGGAAATTAGTCGTAGAGGGAGATTTATTTACATATATATTCGATATGCACTTACTGATTCACTGTGTGATTGTCTCGAATATATCGGGCCATCCTAATATTTGTTTATCTTGTCTGACTTCAGAGGAAATCAGCCCAATAAGTTATTTCAATCCGTCAAAATTAAAACTTTTTTCGACAAGAATAATAGCACAAATAAATGCATATGCATAGTGATATGTTGAAAAACTTTCAAATTCAGCAAAGTTATTGAATTTTGCATCATTCATTCATTAATAATTGTGGGAGGAACTTTGAATCATTATAGTGAACGTAACTATACCGAAACTTTAATACAACGACTTGAAAAATAGTGAATGTTGTTGATGAAGACCGAACACGTTTTTCTTACAACAAATGCATATCTTACTAGCAAATATAGCATTCAAATTACGAATTAAAAGCATATACATGAAAAGGTTCAACTTTATTTAAGGTCCAGCGACGGTCGAGATTAATACTTCATTAACAATGAGTTTGCTCCCATAGATATTGTGCTCATGGTGATCTTGAATGGTGACATGGTGATATTCTGGAAAACCAAATTGTATTACCATCCCCGTTACAAACATCACATTCAGACAATCGTTTCCAACTCTTCTTACCTAACTGATCGCCAGCGGAGTGAGAGCTGCCGTCATATGAGTGCGGGTGGCATTTCCCAGTGAATTTGTTGAACTTGTGTCCCGGTGGACAGAAGCACGTGCCTAAAGTGCATATCGGCTCCCCAGCCTGCACGTACATGAAAGCGTATACATATACCATATATTTCTATGAATATAAACTGAGTAAGAACTATCTAAAACTCAGATACGTCTTTTTAAAATGCTTCTTTCTTCATGGTCTGTATAAGTGGACTGCACTGTAACACGACTCGTCACCATTTAAATTGCAGATGGAATTGCATGATCAAAAAACATTAATTTTCATCTGCGAAATTAAAAGTGAACAACAGTGCCCAAAGAGAACAAATTATTACACTGGTGAACAGGAACCGGTGTATCACAGATGAGCTAATTGTGAATTCATGGATATTGCTATTGGCGTAACTTCAAGATTTTACCAATTAAACTCGCTGAAAAATGCAGTGAGCAGTTCTTTGCAAGGCTATTTTTTTCAAGTACTGTCTATAAATATCCTTTATCAAATAAGTAATTATATTATTAATATCAAATTTCTCTGATGACTTTTTCCCCATCTAAAAGATTTCGCAGTACAGAATGGGTGACGGAACGCCAGTACAACAAATATATAACTATGCAACACAAGGAATATTGTTGTGTACCTCAGCCGTGTCATATGGAGGGACTCCTCCAAATCGAGGATCGTATCGAGGAAGAGAGTCTTGAGGCGGCTGGGGAGGTAGATACGGAGCTGGAACATCAGGTACAGCAATGGAAATAGCGGGTCGCAATGATTCATCATCAAAGTCAACACCCACGGGTGCGTGATTACCTCTGACTCCCTGAGCCGACGCATTGCTGACCTGAGGAGCGAGCGGGTAAATGTTGCCATGCGCATCTGGTGTGCCGTAGTATGGATCATAGACAACCTCAGGTCTTGCTTGTGGGTGCTCATCGTCTGTCGGAATCGGGAAAGGACCAAATCCGTCGTAGGGGTTATTCTCAAATACGACAGGAAGGTTACTGTAGTCAGCTCCAAGAACGTAATCAGGAATTTTGTCTATGGGAACAGGAACTATGTTCTCGGAAGGGAAGTTGCTGTCCACTCGGTTAAACGGTGCGTCGAGATTGCACGTATAACCATCGCCTGTGAAGCCAGGCAGACATTCGCAGAAGTAATCTCCTTCTTGGTTTCTTTGACACGAACCGTAAGGTGAACAGTTCTCGGCGTAATGACAGCTCACTGAGTTAGCAGTAAGTTGACACGTCACTCCGTCACCCTCATACCCAGGACGGCAGTAACACTTCAGGGAGTTGTCGGTGTCGTCGAACCTGCACTCGGAGTGCACGCCACATGTGGTGGATCCGCATTTTTCAGAGCCAAGGATTTGACTCCCTGAATGAGATGAGCCTGGTAGTTCAGATGTGAGAATATTTTAGCAAGTCCTTATTTGCTATGACTCAATTGACGTAGCAATATATAAATTAATAATTTTTCAGATTATTAAGATATTGAAGATAGTTTGTAGAACTGAAATAAACGCATTAAAGTGGTAAAGTAAAAATTTCTCATTCTAGTTATTGTAATACGCATCACGATTTATTTCGATCAATTTTATTGGTGTAAAATGTAAATTAAATTACTGAAATGAAACATTGTACATAATATATGCAACCTTAATTAACCTTATAAGAAAGAGTGTTAAGCGTTAATGAGGAGTCACTCGGTTTGAAATTTTACATATAATAGATTTTCCGATATTTTACTCTAAGAAGAGATAAATAAGCAAATTTATACCATAAAAAGTATTGTAAAATCGTATTTAAATGAATTTCAGAATTGTGCCTACATAATTGTGTCTTCCCACGACATTTGTAATTGTTTGCTAAAAATTAAGATTACGCACACGTACATTTTAGCAAACGTACTCGTACTTGTTGCGTAAAAACGTCATTATCAGATTTTTTGCGGAAACTAAGACCAATGTAGTGAACGTTATCTTTAATTTTGAGATTTTCTATAACGTACCTATTTTTTCCACAGAAAATAATCAGACGATTTAAAATAGATGACTAACGTTATAAATACGCATATTAACGTTATAACGCAATAACGCATACGCATAAACAGCAGCATCAAGCTTTGGTCGAACTTTATATTTCTTCAAGTTTGGCACTGCTACATCAATACGCGACAACCTTGCAACAATTCCAACAAGACGGTAACAATATACCAGCACTCGCCGACCCGCCATGATTCACCGTAAAACGGCAATAATATCACTACTCGCCAACCCATCCAGGCTCACTGAAAGACCGTAATAATACCAGCACTCGCCGACACATCAATGCTCCCGGTAAATCTGCAATAATACCAGCACTCGATAACCCATCGATGCTCCCGGTAAATCGGCAATAATACCAGCACTCGCCATCCCAGCGATGCTCCCGGAAAATCGGCAATAATACCAGCACTCGATAACCCATCGATGCTCCCGTTAAATCGGCAATAATACCAGCACTCGCCGACACATCGAGGCTCCCGGTAAATCGGCAATAATACCAGCACTCTCCTACCCGCCATGGCTCACCGTGCGCGGGCTCGCAGTGACGCCCGTCCCCCGTGAGCGGAGTCGGACACGCGCACCGCGGTTGGCCGTTCTCGATGGAGCAGGTAGCGCGAGGGTCGCATCCAGCTGTCTCGCAGCTCACGTCCGCTGGAGGACAGATTATGTCTCCTCAAATTGAATGACTATTCGTGTTATTGGAATGTCATGGAGCCAAAGTACGAAAAGATAGGAAAAAGGATGAGAGTTGAGATGAACAAGGAAGGTTCATACATGCTTGAAACACGATGCCAGTAAATAAGCAAGCGATAAAAAGTGAATAAAAAGTGCTTTGAAGTAGAAATGTTCAGTTTTGTAGAAGTACCAGTTGTACATGAAACCTAATTATTCAATTTTAAAACCTAAATATCGGATATCGAGAATGATTTAGCAACCTTTAGTTTGAACTAAAATTTAGGCTGAACAAAAATAACAATAAATTCGAATTTATAGAAGCTGTGAGCCCTGATAGGTTCACTGAAAACAATACTGGGAGCAAACCTTTGCTTTTTTAACAACAATTCGTCAGTTTAATAATTATTTTCTGAACGATAATTTAATGCATAATACATTCTCAGTTCCTTATTCCAACTATGCAATAAAAATCGAGTTTAGTTGGGCCAAATCGAACATTGGACGTACGTGAATCTTCTAGAAATCCGTGTTGTATCTCAGTATTAATAATATTAACACGAATCAAAATCATGATAGTAGAATGCGGTTGTTACAAGAAAATTATGGTCAACATCTCGATATTATATCAAAAAGTATTTGATCAATGAGTTATTATTAACTGAAATTCGACGCCCTAGAGAAGCAAAATGTAATTCCGTGCGATGGTCAATAAAAAATAATCGTTCAATAATTCCACGGAAACTTGTTTATGTTGTAGATGCATGTTGATATTTATGATATGATTTCAATCACTGATGAATAATTGTCTTCGAACAAAGCAACCAGAGTTGCCTGGAGACGCTGAGCGAGAAGTGTACTTTAGCTAAAATTGTTTAGTTTCACCTTCAACTTAGGAAGATCGATTAGAAATTTTGCTAAATTTCAGAAGCACAAGTTGATATAAATATTTCTTTACCATGATTTGCAGCGAATTACTCTACAAATTCAAAGATTATCAGTGACGCTAGATAGCATATATGAAGCATCACATTATTGCTCTAAAACTTACAATGGCACCTGTAGCCATCTCCCGAGTATCCATGATGGCAGGTACAGGCGTAAGATCCTTGTGTGTTGTAGCACTCTGCGTTCACGTCACACTGGTGTCTGCCCGTGCCACACTCGTCCTTATCCAGACACGTGGCAGCGTTCAAGGCGGGGTCGAACACTTGCTCGTAGCCACGGTTACACGCGCACCTGTGGCACACGTGTCAGCGGCTCAAAAAAGTACGCTTCAGGACTGACAACCAAATCACGACTAAGGAGTATAAATTATCGAGGTACGGTTCTTTGAATTTAGTTAGAGGTTTGAATTGTTTGTTTAATGTGATTTCAAGTATAGTCGTATTTGGTTACATAATTCCAAAACTAAATTAGTATTGCAAGTGAAAAACTGATTAATTAATTGATAATAATTATTGATAATTGATGATAATTATTCCCTCCCGGTTTTCGAGTTTAAATTTATGTTTTGCCTGCAATTTGTAAATAAGCTCGTAAACGCGAGACTTCCAAGGTTCTGCGTTCCCAAGTTTCTAATTAATTACGCAATTCTTCACAAGTTTTTGATTTCTTAATTCCTAAGTCCTCCGAGCGTCACATGTCGTTGTTCATACCTTTTAAATTTGAATTTCGTGCATTTATGAAATAATGTTTCACTGCAGTACGATGTTTATAGAGGAGCAATAATGCTTTTCATAATCGTACTTGAGCTGATCTTGATTTTAACATTTGTATTATTCTTATTACTAGTAGTTTTGTTTTTAGTTGTACGGGTGTTGATATTTAGTCGTCTCAAATAACTAATATGAATAGAAAATTATTCAAAATAGTTACTTGGACTATCAAGTTATACAAGGGAAATGCCGAAAGGTCCGACATCAATGGCAATATTAGCCCTTCCGCATGTAAGCTGCCATATTTGGTCACATCAAACCTCCTCCCAAAAAGACCCACTAAAGACTTCGGTTTATGTTTGACGGAACATATCATGCCGGAACATATCATTGTTCTCTTTACAGCAGTACTCCCTACCATGCCCAAGAATTAAAATATGAGAATTTAAATGAAAGTTTTTACTCGGATAGCAAATTTAAAGCGCTCATCAGTTTTTTAAATGGACTGAGACATCTATATCTTTTCAATAATTTGAGGTAACTTGACGAAATTTCATGAAATTGAAGTTGGACAGGTACCCTTTACGTTTGTATGCATGCTTAAATTTGAATTATATGAAAACGTATTCTAGCGACCTAATTCAATAAATTATTCAAGTTCGATCCACCCTAATAATGAAAAAAGTTATAAGTACATAGTTCACAATAATTCAAACTTTCTTGTACTTGTTTCATAAAGATCAATTTCTTCATATTTATATCATTGCTCGTGAAAGGATCAACACCAAATCTACTTTTACCAGTACCAAGTAATTTTCAGCTCACAGTCTGGAGTTCACGGACACAGAAAAATTTAATTTCCTTCTGCCTAATTGCAGCGCGTGTCTAAATTTACTTGTTTAGTCGAGCTACGCGCGATATCAGTGAGCTGTCAGTTGAAAAATAATCTGGAAATAACTTGTCACTGTCAGTTACCGAATAGCTTTTTGTAAGAGTTCTTTCTTAGTACCGATCATAATTTATGCTCTTTTTTTACACAAATTTCCATCCATAGAAGATTTTATGAAGACCATTAATATTTGCTTGCTTTGATCTGAAATTATCTAACAATCAAATGACCAAGAAAATGAGATTAATAAGAAAATTCTTATTGTAAGTATTACCATTTCGCAGTCAAGTTCTACCAACAAAAAAGTTCTTATCCTATTGAAATTGTAAGGAGATGGTTTTGTTCGCTTCTCTTTGATACTACTACTACTTCTTTTATTCATGATATTTTAGGTTGAAAATTACTCAGTAAAGTTCAGTTGTGCGAATTGACCATGCACACAAATATTCCTAAATTTGAAGACAGATAATGGAGCTGGTCACGCATACATCTGTGTAATGAAGTGTTGCTGCAAATTTCCCACTACTGTATGTCAGACTATGAAGTTTAAGTAGGACCGACTCTGACGTCGGTGTTGGGTTCAGTATAGCCGTCAGATACTATGCCGATCCCGACTTGCGTCCTGGTTCCTCTCTTATAGGATTTTGACTCGGACGCCAGGGTGAGTTGTGTGCTATAGTGGTGAAATCTAGCTTGGAATACTTGATGGAATATAGTGATTTTTATGTATATATGACTTGTCATGCGTAAATATTTACTTTCTGTTTTCTGTTGTAAGATCGTGCGTTATTCTCGGATCTCAATGCTCTAGCTCTCTCCTCGCATTTTGCTCTCCTCGCACTTTAACTTCCTCCGCATGTAACTTGTTAGTTCGTTCACATGCCGCACCTCTGTAAATCATTAGTGTTATTTGTTTACATTTATTTGCCGCTTATATTTAATAAACTTAAAACGTTTGTTCGAGTAACTATCAGCTCAGTCCAAGCTCTTGCTGATAAAACCAATAGGGAAGTTGAATTTAATTTCCGGTCATTGGTGGACGTGACAATTAGACCATCCGAACTTTGAGGTGACGCGATCAATTAGCTATTATTCAAGATTAGTTCGTCACAATCTGCATTTTATATGTGGGGGATTTTCATTGCATATTCATTTATAATAAATACATTGGTAAAGTACGTTCTTATTTATGTGTTTAATACACATCAATGTTGGTCGTGACCTAGGGCCGTACTATCAGGGCTCGTTTACGTACACGTGCGTATTCTTGGAATTAGTGTAGGTAATCTGCATTTTAAAAATATTATTGTATATTAATTAATAGAGATAAAATAAAATGGAAACAATCTAGTCAAATAATCTGATTTAGTCATTTCTAGCGAATAAATTGTAAAATATGAACGAAACTAATGCGCTCTTGCCTGAATGTGTCGCCGTCTACGACGCACTCGCTGTTGGGTCCGCACAGCTCGCGGCCTCTGATGCACGGATCTTCCTCTGAGGTATGAGGGGAAAATCGTTAATTTAAATACAAAGTAAACTATAAACTAACCTGGACGAAAGTGGAAAACAGATATAACATATTTTTATAAACTATAAATGGCTCGAAAAAGAATTTCTTTGAATTCGCATTAAATTTACTTACGAGATAGAGGCCCGACGGTAGATGACAAGGCGAACCTCACGATCTTCTCCGGAGCGTCGTACTGGATGAACATGTTCTCAGCAACCTTTTACGAAGGGAAATGCTGTCATAGTTCTAACACAGAGGTTTCGATGATTTTACGAAACTTCACTTACGTGTAGTCTTCACGAAAATATAAACTCTCAAAATGTTACGTGCATGAATGATTTTTATGCAGAATAAATAATTCCAATTAGGCCACGATTATTCGTGACCAGCCAGTCCTCGTGTAGTGATGCGTTGGATATTTGATATTTTGATATTTATTTATTTAATTTATCTATTATTTATTATTAGGGAACATAAGAAACTCCTACATTTCAATGGAACGAACATGGTTCAACCAAATAAAATTAATGCATCTACTTATATTTATTGCAACAAAAATCCGTTTGTTTTGTAATTTCCGTTGACAATCCATTCTCATACATATTCATGCTTGAATTTGGCTATAAATTAAAACTATCTTAATTCACAGTTTGAAAGAGTTTGCAACAATAAAAGTCAATGCAATGTTTGGACAGAGACTTTAGCCAATGAACTTTCAAACGTTTCCAATAATTTTACTGGTAAGCTCGATGACGATGGCGTTGATACCTTGAGCCTGAGTGTAGCAGGACTTTCATGAGGCGCGAGGTAGCGACACTCGTCGTAGTCGATGGTCGTCTCGACCTGGTAGGGCGTCTCCAGCTCCTGCCCCTGCAGCCTGAACACGCGGCTCGACTTCGCGCGCAGGCGACCTGAACACCACAACGCCCCAAACTTTTCAATATCAAATACTTTTTACTTTTTGACCTGACTTTGTAAAATTCCTTTATTATATGAAGAAACTAATGTAGTTCATTATCACAGCCCTTAAATGATGACAGGCCACTTTGAAAAAGCACACAATTGTTTTCAGTTAAAAGAACATTTAATATGTTTGGAAATTGTAGAAAAAAGGACCCTTCTCATCAGAGGTTTCCAAATACAGCAATTAAAAGCATTAAAATTATGATAAATCATCCAAGAGTAGCAATACGAAACTTGACATGAAACAGCCTCGGATAATAGACGGGATTGACACCTATGACAACCACTGCAAGATTGACTGCAGTTGTCCTCATTCATTTGCATACATTAGCTGCTGTGCTCTCAGTCTTCCATTTCTCTGCCACTTCAGGTTATGCGATTTAAATGCAGCAGCATTTCATTAGTGGAACTTCTAAGGTAATTGATGACATTCATTTTTGTCAGTAGCATTATTGGCACAAGAGTTTAAGTGTGTTCAACAGTGTGTTAAAACTTAAATGTTTCTTTGTGAAATTCTTTTTTGCGGGCCAACGACTTACGAGCCAAGCCCAAGATGGAAGAATTAAGTCCATATTGATTGAAAACAGTATCAAAATCTTCACGAATTTTTTTAACTTATTAGCCATGAAAACTAATTTGGCCGTCACGTATATTGCGCACCGTGTTAACTATTCAACTCTAATGAGAATTTAAAATCATTACTTTTTTTCAAATTCAAGCGTAAAAGATTGATAATGAGCTTCTGTTCATTAGCCTTGGATACACTATTTATGTAAAACGTCGTAATAATTTTACGTTAAATCGGATGAAAAAGAGTGACAGAAAGTCACAATTATTACGTTGAGACAGCGGTGTTGCATTTATTATTTTCAAAATAACAGTCTCTCTTAAAAGTTATGTTTTCTATATGGTATCAGAAAAAAATCATCTACTTACCAGGCTGGACTCGCGTATACTCTTCGACGAATGGCAACACCTCTATTTTGGACTCGTCCGGTATGTTGGGCAGTGTTCCCGCCAGAAAAGTGTTCACTTCTACGTTTTCAAATACGTCCAAGCCCTGTAAAAAATATAATTTGTAGGGCTGAAGCTTTTACGCTAATGGACCATCTCTATATCTGTACCATCGTAAATACAACTCAATCTTACATGAAAGGCAGAGGATTATCGTCTTCGGTGGTGAAGCAATTTTGTACCTGTATTCAGTCAAGGAATTCTCAGTCGTTAGGACATTTCAGTACTGACTTGCATATATTTCAAATGTTAATATAGGAATAGTTTTATTACACGCACAGAAAGTCGATTATTCATGTAACGAGTAGCTTGCTGTAAAATTAGCGAAATAATTATTCGTTTTGATAAATTAAGTAGAAGTGCATTATAATGAGTTTGTTTTATTTAGCTTTTATCACTGCAGAACTGTAAACTGATGTATTTACATATATCACTCGCTGTATTCATGAATATCGTAATTGAATACGTAGCTGAGCACAGTACATTTCAGGTTGCATTCTGAGCCCCTGTGTGCCAAATAAAGCTTAAAAAAAGAGGCTTTTAAAACTCGCTTTTGGAAAGTCCTGTTCGAAATATTTTCATTTAATTTTTGTAAAACTTGGTAAATTTCTTAGCATTTCCATTTGCTTTATGCTTATATATTCACGGTTGTTTTTAGGTTTAAGTAATCAAAAGAGAAAATCCTTTAAGCCTTTTTTTCTTTTCGTAGAGACAAAAGATATGATTCTATCTTTCCTATAGCGAATAAAAATCGTCTCCCAGGCCATCACAATAATACTTCAACAAACAACTGAAGCATTACACGACGACTTGTTCAAAATTCATTCAGTTTTTTCATTTAACGAAAATGAATACTTATAATACAAGTTGTAATTAGTTTAATTCAAATCATATTAGAATGTGAAATTGAACCTCCATTCGGGACTCCTCCCGATTCCATTGCTCAATTTCAAATCTATTTCAATAGCTTGTTCCAGAAGTGTGGACAATTTTATATACATTCTGACTTTCAATGCAGATATTAGATTTCTCTTATTTTCAATGCAATATGAATGTCGTATAATTTCTTGCGTTGGCACATTCGTGCCGTATATATTAATATTTATTCTACCATTAAGCAGTATGATTGCAATCACAGAACTTAAGTGTCTCCACTTCTTTCTCACTGCATCTGTTTAGGCGCAAGTTGAAACCAGTTATATTATTTCACAAGAACTAAAACATTCAGCGTCACTTACCAAGAACGTTTGCTGGACGGAGGCGCTGTGTCCAGTCTGGGGGAAGTCGAGGGTGACTGTACGATTCAATATCCCCCCAGTGAGTGTAAAACCATTAGGTACGTCCTCCGTGGGGCGAGCGAAGAGCCAAGTGATACCTGTCCCTATGGGGGTCAGCGTCTGCATGTCGAACCCTTGCGTCTGACACCAAGAAAATTTTTTATGCTGAATTTTTAGCGCCCAAACTTCAATATTATTCATTTTTGCATTTCACGATCAGTAATTAAGGACCGAAGGTTAAAACAGGAATAATATGGCATTAGATTAGCGAAAAAGTTTGCTTCATTTAATAATGTTCGAACCGTAGGCTAATCATTTTCGGATTTTTCCAAATTTTTTTTTCAATTTTGTGCTTCAAATAAGCAATTGTACAAGAAAAATGAAATTTTATACCTTCTAAGTAATATTATTATAACACTCGTAATCGAGCTTGAAGACTTCAATTTCACCTATCATGCCACTCTATTTCACCCCTTAACCACTTTCGCCCCACCAATGATCCAACGTTATCCTTTCGATATTCAACTATCACATATCTTCGTTCTATCTTTAACTAAAACTTTCTCTGATCATATTTACATTTTTTACACTAGCATTAACCGCGGCTCGACCATTACCTGCTTCCATTTATGCCATGAGCTACCACAACCGACATTCAAATGAATTATACCCTTGCTGCCATCATTACCCACCTTAGGCACCCTGGACACGGCGGTGTAAGTCCTACCCTCTGCAGTCAACACGTACGAGTGCAGGTCGGCCTCGTCGAGTGTCACGCCATTCAGGCTGCCTGTCACGCGCCCAGTCACACGCAGAGGCTCAACTTGGAGCAAAGCAGGCCATGAGTTAGGAAATAATACACGTTTTGCAATTAATATGTGGCTGACAAAGTTATTTTAGTTGGTGAAATTTATTTTTGAAGAACAATCCTACAGTGTGGTGGACACACAAAATTTTCGCTTTGAATACACAGCTGAATTTGCAGCTTGAAAAAGTATAGTATATTGGAGATCATAATTTTGTAGGCTTTCCTGTAGTACTGGTGTAGTGAATCAGCCAAAACGGCGCTCATTATATTTACCGGTCAGAGGGTAAAGATGGTGTTAGGAACATACCAAAATTAGTAATCTTTAAAATGTTCACTAAACGTATATGCGGACGAATGTTGATCACGCCTGAGTAAATGATCAATAATATGTAAACATCCGTTCTACGTGAATCCTTTCAAGTTATGCTTGAACGGATTATGCACTTAGTGATTGCTCCCCGTGTCTTCGCTCACCACTCTTGACGCAGTTAATGCCGTTGCCGAATGTGTCTGGCGGGCACTTGCAGCAGAAGCCTTCGTTGTAGTCCATGCAAGACGCGGAGGAGTGGCACATGAGGCCACCCTCGCTGCACGATGCGTCCTCACTCCTGGGGGTCGTCATGTCCGGCTCTGCTATGTTCTCTGCATCAACGAGAAAACCGTGCATAAAACAATATAACAATCTACTGTAATTAGCGCTTTGCAGCATATAGTGTTTCTGACAAGGGTATTACTGCTCGAATGTTCCGAGCTCACTCTGACCTTGCTCTGGAAAACATCATGGAGAGAAGAAAACGTTCCTAGTTACCTAAAATTAAGGGCGAATAACCCCAATCTTCCAAGGAGGTGCTAGAGGCAAACCCCAAAATTATAGGCCGCTTACATTACTATCACACGTAATCAAGGTATTTCAGAGGGGCCTGGCCAGAAGGTTTATGCAGTACATGGAGGAAGCTAACCTTTTCTACAGAAGACAACACGGTTTTAAGTGAAATCTTTCCTGTTTGTCTCAGTTACTAGAGCATCACCACTGAATCCTGACCATGCTGGAGGAGGGGGCTGGGGTGGACGTGGTGTTTTTAGACTTCGCGAAAGCGTTTGGCAAAGTTGACCATGCAGTGCTCTTTAAAAAATTAAGACTACTGGAGGTCGGAGGTGAATCGTTGGCATGGATACACAACTTCTTATCTGACAGACTACAAGCTGTCGTCGTTGGAGGCTCGAGATCGAGCAAGGCTAGGGTGAAGAGTGACGTACCAGAAAGAACGCTGCTGGGCCCTATATCCTCTTCCTTATCCACATCGCCGACATAGATGTGGCAGTGAACCACGCCTCTGCATCGTCATTCGCGGATGACCCCAGGATTCTAATACCTATTACGGACAGGACAGACTGAGAGAGGATGCAAGAAGACTTCTCTAAAATATATGACTGGGCTCAAGTTAACAACATGCAACTCAACGAGACCAAGTTTGAGGTTCTGAGATACAGTGGCAGCGGATGAGCTGGTATTGAGCCCGCTACCTAGCACCTGATGGCTCGGAAATCGGGGAGAAGCGACTCGTTCGCGATCTAGGAGTGTTGATGAACAATCAGGTCAAGTTTAGTGCTCACATCGCGGCAATAGGCGCAGGAGGCAGGCGTCAGATGCGGTACATCTGGCGGACGTTCAGAACGAGAAAAGCGGAACCGATGATCACACTCTTCAGAGCACTTGTGATACCTCTCCTGGAACACTGCTGCCAGCTCTGAATCCCGTTAATACTTGGGGCAGTGCGGAAATTGGAAGAGGTCCAGTGAACCTTCACTTCCAGGATCAGAGGGATAGAGTTGAACTACTGGGAGAGGTTGAAGCGCCTGGGTCTGTAATCACTGCGGAGGAGACGGGAGAGGAATGTCATCCTATACACATGGAAAATAATAACTGGAATGGCACTGAACTTTGAAAATGAGACCTTCAAGATTAAAACATGTCATAACGAGAGAAGGGGGCGAGACTGTGCAGGATTCCACCACTAACGAAGCAGATCTGCTGTCTGCTTCCCTGCGGGAAGGATCTCTTACCGTGCTAGGGCCGAGGCTGTCCTAGCGACCGAAGCTGCTAACATCCTAGCGAAGGATCTAAGAGAGGGTTAGTTCACCCTGGAGACTTTCAAGAGACGACTGGAGGTATTACTGAGCAAAATCCCTGATCGTCCGCCCCTGCACCACTACCAGCGGCGTGAAGCAAGCAACAGCATCATGCATCAGCTGGTCCAAATGAGGGCGGATGCGCGATAGTCAGAGGCGGCGATCCATCGTGGACTGCGAATGCTACGTCCAAAACATATAATAAGGATAATAGCTTAAAATTCCAGGCCGAGCTAATATTTCAGATATTTACCAGATTTTTTCGATCGCGCACTCATGGAATTGTCTTCTGTTATGCACCGTTTGTCTTCCCTAGATTTGACGTCTGTATCTTTGCTCGTTTGTTTTGACCCTAAGAATGATTCTCCTGTTCATACTTACAGTAAAAGTGAAATATTCAAGTGCTCCGTATGAGAATATTATGAAATTATTACTTCAAAAATTAAAATTTCACTTTTATTAAATTTTGAGGTTTCAATGTCTATGGGGTGCATTTGTCACTTCCCCAGCAATGAAGGGAATATCAGCTGGCCCATTGCATTGCATTGTGTTGCTGTCGTTTCTGACATTAATTACAGACTAACTTCGATGGTATATAGTGACAAGATTGCTTTAAAATCAAAATCTTTTTGAATACAGTATTCAGGTAATTTTGTTCCTGATCTTCATATTCCTCAATTTGTTTGCCTGGATGGGGATTACGGATATGCGATTACGAATGCTTTTTATTGAGGACATAAAGAAAAATTATATTATTACATTGTTTATCTTATATTGTTTATTATTTTATATATTGTTTATGAATATTATATTAACAATTATATTGTTTTATTCACGTTGTGAATAAAAGATAAAGCTACATAGACTGATATCAAGAAAGATATTCATCAACTCGGTTAACGGAATGAAAATACAAATAATTATCGACACATAACCTGACACATGAAATGTATTTGATAATATTTCAAGACTCATTTGGAAATTTGACTTTAATCCACTGACAGTTGTCCGAAAGCATCAAGCATTGAATTCATGAGCAGCTCCCTGTCTCACCATGAGCAGCTCCCTGTCTCACCATGAGCAGCTCCCTGTCTCACCTTGAGCAGCTCCCTGTCTCACCATGAGCAGCTCCCTGTCTCACCATGAGCAGCTCCCTGTCTCACCTTGAGCAGCTCCCTGTCTCACCTTGAGCAGCTCCCTGTCTCACCATGAGCAGCTCCCTGTCTCACCATGAGCAGCTCCCTGTCTCACCATGAGCAGCTCCCTGTCTCACCATGAGCAGCTCCCTGTCTCCATGTCTCACCTGTAGGTTCGATCTGACCAACTCTGAAGACCCAGACTCCAGGTTCGCCTATGTTGCTCCATCTGAATTTTAACAAAGAGTGTCAATAACATCGTACGATAAATGCTTTAAACCTAGTTCTTACAAACTTTTCGAGCGCTAGTCTGGAGATTCCGGTTTCCACATTATAGTTAGTAAGTACAATGGATTGGCACGTTCTAATATCTGATAATTTTGAAGTTAATTAGTGAATTATAATTGAAGGCAATTCAATTCTAATGGTAAAAATATTTGAATTTTGAAAAATTTTCCCGCACACAAATGGCACAGTATATGCTTTCACCATCAAATTTGTTGTATGTGCGCACTCGTATATGGAATCAATATGTTGGAAATCTTTGCATTACTTTACTCTCAATCAATTTCTCACTTGTCCAAATTTCTTGCTTGATCTTGTCCAGATCCTTTAAGAAGCTTCATCCTGCCGTCGCCAGAGATGAAGCCGGCCTGCGCCAAGGCGTCGGGTAGGCTGGGGTTCTTGCCTTTGCCGCGTAGCCACTGAACGCCGTTGTCAGCGTACAGCAAAACTACGTACGACTCGTGCCCGTCCGTGGCCAGGATGATTTGGAATGTGTTGGTCTGAAACCACATTGATCCTTTTGACTAGATATCTGTGATATATTCTGAGACATGCTATAATGATATAATTTGACTTAGAACGTGTAACCAGTCTGGCGGTCCGTGACTAAGCGGTTCAACGGGATGCTTATCAAGTTTCATGTCAGTGCCAAAGGAACGGAAGTCCTAACACCTGCTTACCTCAAATATTATTCACAATTATTTTGTGTGTCTATAATTATAATATCCTATATATTCATTTATTTGCGTGCATACACGATTTTAAAGTTAATTAAGTGATTTTATTCGAATCATCTTATGTCGTTTGCTCCAGAATGCAGGCGGGCCAAAACCTCGAACTGATAGGTATAAATAAAAATAATGTAAATGAGAACAATCAACATTAGAATGTGTGAATCTATGAAAATAACTATTCGCACGTAGCCATCTAGTATCTAATTCAATCGGCGTGCATCTTGCACTTGTTGATGCGATAAAACTGCACGAACTGTTCGTATCTACTTGCAAAAACAACGGTTTTATAAACCCTCAAAGCCCTGATGGGTCGCTCGAACCACACAGACCTCCTGCACCGTGTAGTGTAAAATCGACAGAAGCAAATTTTGCGCCCAGCATCTTTTCTCTGTTCTTCTCTCACAATTATTTTAGTTTCCTTTACTCTTTACTGGCTACTCTTAACAATATCCTACTCTTTTCCCAGATTTATCATAGAGACAGTGACCAACGATACCACGCGCACAGATGTGTGGACAGTGTGGTACTTGCTTTTGCCTTGTGCTGGGTGTGGCTGCAAGAAAGTTTACCAGCATTAAATCAATCAAACGTTCTACTTCCGATAAATTTGAAAACAAATTTCTAAACATGGCAGCCCAAGGAAATTTTGATAAATACCTTTTTGGGCTTAAGTTTGTGCCCGCTGACGCCGTCCCACGTGGCGATGAACACTCCTGTCGGGTTGAAGTTTGCAGCGGCGCTGAAGTACGCTGCCAGCTCGCTCTTGAGCCGCGATACTGTAAGAGGGTCCGTAGTCTCCCTGAGTGTGTAGGAGAATTTAAGTTTTTGCATCATGTACACAGATCCTTTTTGATGAAAATATTTAACAGTATTTCAGAATAACGTAACAGAAACGATTACGTGTTCGTAATTTCTGTCAATATTTGACGGCTTTTCAAGCTGAACCAATTACAGACAAAAAATTGGCCGCTACGTGCACTTTAGCGAGTTTGGATTGTACGGCTCCATGAATTGGGCTGAAAACTGCAGCTCTGCTGTTGCCGGAAATAATGTTACATCGGCAAAATTCGCCAACTTCAAGTAAACTAGACATGAAACTTTGTTGAGAGATCTATGAGACATACAAATAGGAATGTATATCTAAGAATGTCCACGTCAACTGGTGTAAATAAAGTTTTCTCATATATCAACTTACCTGTAAGAAACGGTTCCAGAACCAGTGGTATCAATATCAGAATACAGAGCGGCAATGATTGGGTAGTCAAGAGGGAACTGAACGTTGAAGAAGGATGGGATCTCGGTGAGGAACGAAATAAAACCGTTCATGTTGACCTGCGTGAACATGCATAATTTAAGGTTGGCCTTGCATACAAGGCCTGCGTTACGATTTGAATAAGAAGAAAGTTTCATGAGCTGTATTGTTTACAAATGGAGTAAAAAGTACGGTCTAAGCAAACATAACATAATAAAATAAATAAATAATAAAATAACATTGCTCTTTATTCAGCAATCTAGAAACATACATAATAATATTTGGCATTAAAATTAAATCCAATTGAGATACATGATTCTTTTTCATTCAGAAGTTGAAATTATGTATGAGCGCCAACGAATATTATATGATTTTAGGGTCATAATGATTTTTGAAGTATAATTATTTTGGGACCTGATTGTAAATTGATTAGATTATCAAGTGCGTAAAAGTCTTTACTTCGGAACGGGATCACTATTGACTTGTCCAAATGTCTATTGCGATGATTTAATATAAATTCCTTAGATCAATATGCTTGCTCACAAATAAGGAAGAATACGAAGCCTTGTAGAAGACAAAGGGCACCCTGAGTTGCACTTCAAGGGAAGACACTTCATCGGCTGGGGGGAGAGATTGGTCGCCCCAACTGTCCCCGTGGGTGTAAAGTCGCGTGTAGGGCAACGCCAGAGTGGCTGTTGTTGCCATCAGTAACACCAACAGCGTTTTGAACGCCTCCATTTTATAATGCTTGCCACGGAGGGCTAATTGGAGCTAAAAACTTATCGAAGAAAATCACAATCTGATTAAATATGAGAATAGCTGAAATCAAGAAAAAACTAGCGTTTTATACAATTTTGAACTTACACTTATTTTTGTTAAATAAAATTTATATCGATAAATATGCTTTCAAAACTTCAAAGCAAATGTATTGCAATGAACTGCTAACATTTAATTTTTGCTGAAAAACGCTGAAGATGGGTCTCTTCGACGACAATTTTATTTGGCACGCTCGAAAACAGAATATGAACGGCGTAAAGAAGCATTAAATATAAGAAATTTATTTATTATATGACATACCCGTACAAGGACCCGCAGTACAATTAGTCATAGAGCGGGTTAAAAATCATGTTTCTAAAACTGTCGTATTAGTTATTGAACTTTGTAAAACTATTCAACTCTTGGGCATGACAACATCTCTCAGTACTAGCCTAATATAATGCAAAATATAACATCCAATAGCAGGAAATCAGTCTGCTCTTGATAGATTAATAATTTTTATTTTAAGAAAGGAATCCGTACATTGCGTAATTTTCGCCCCTATATCCGTTATATTACAGACATTGTTTCAATATTTTCCTTTTTCTTATTTGCGCTAGAACATTCGAGGGTCTCTTAATTAGGTGATCACAAATGAAGTTAGCATTAAGGAATATCTTTCTAATCGCCACTTTTAAGAAGGAATGTCTTCTAATCGCCAACATTTCTCACTTATTTATTGAGAACAGACATACCTGATGCTTTCTGAGAATATCGTGAGTATGCAAATTTTGAGTTCGGTATTCAGCAACCTTAAGTTTTAACGACAATCCCCATTAATTTATTTAACATTTACATAAATCTAAACCATTTTTCACCACACGTTTAAAGTAGAATAGAAACGAAAATATTTATTATTCTAAACAAAACCACAGGAATCACAAAAAATATGTACAATATTTTTCTGAGTATATAACATTTTGAAAATATAATAAATAGTAAATAATTTTCTGAAAGCCATCATTTTTTTATTTGCTTCAAACACTTCTTTTTCCATATCACAGGCCGCCGAAATTAAATTCGTTTTAGGTCAACTCCTTTTACGGATTTCCAGCCAACACCCGAAACGCTTAGATTTAGATAACATAATCAAATAATGTGCCGTAGGCCACCAATAGAATATAAGACCAAAGAATTATGTTGGTGCCGTCAGAAACATTTGTTAGAAACATTTTAATTGATCACAAAAGAGTAATTGAAGGTGTTTGGCCATATGGAAAAATAGTTTGTATAATAAGTAGGTATACTCAATCTGCTCTATTCGAAATAATTCACAGAACCCCAGATCATGAAAGTGCCTCAAACTACTCTCGATAATTTTCTGATTCCCACTAGCTGACTTTGAAATTAAAATTTTTTACTCTATATTCACATTAAAAAATCACTCTGTACCATGCCATATGACGAATAATCCTCTCGGGACCTATAGCAGCGCGAACTGATTTGTTAATTAAAGATTGTTTACTTTGACAAATAGTCAAAATTGAAAAGTATCTTAACTAAGTGACTATAGTAGCTAGACCAATAGTGACTAGTATCATGACCAATAATGACTAGTATTTTGATCGATAGTGACTAGTATCTTAACAAGTGACTATTTTCAAGGAAGAGACTTTTATTTAACCAAGAGACTATTATTTTGCCCAAGTGACTAGGATTTATCTAAGTGTGTATTTTAAGCCTTTACAGCCCAGGTGTACCATACGGTCGCCGTTCAAACATGCTCTGTTATAGTAATGTTGTAATCAGGAATTGGCGCTAGATGTTTTACACGGGTCGAAACATGTTATTGTTCCAATATTTAAGTTTCAACTTACTACACTCATCTTTAACCTATTCAGCCATCTAAAAATAAATTAGTATTAAAAATATTTCAACAGGCTGGCCAAATAAATGTCTTAACCTGATACACTCCTAACATCGACCTTTGAGGTGCGGCGAATAGATGGGTCATTGATTAGATACTAAGCCAGCTTTTCTATTCTCTTGAGATTATTTTTATGTACTAATTATATATACCTGTCCATTTTGTGACCAATAATTGTAGTCCACATGATTACAGACATATGTATATTCTCTTCCACCTGTGTGCCGACTTTTGATCGAGTAATTAGCTGCTTCTGACAGACGTATGTGTTGCGAACGCGACAAAATTAAATAGACGCTTTATTGCAACGTTTTTCGTAGCTTGTATGAATTATCCTCTAAACGACAGCCAATCTCGAAGACCATTATAGTCATTGGTTGTTGGCCACAGTAGACTCACCAGCGGTAACACCTTCCATAGGTAAAAGTTACACTAAAACTGACAGCAAACATGCTTACATAGGACAAAGTATAGTTACGAATATTTTATTGAACATTTTTATTGCATGTCAAAAACTCAAATGAAATTCTCAGTCGGTGATACACATACGTCATTCGCTTGAGCAACAGCGTAATATGAACGCCTCACAAACTATATTTTTTGGTTCATCATTGAAGCACCTCCCACTTTGCGGGCAGTTTGAAAACAAAATGCCTTGTCACAATAAACTCATATCGGTTTTTTAATTGGTAATTTCTGCTGTTGCGGAGTTAGTGATGAGCGCGAGGCCTCAATAAAACTGATGTAAGTTACCTTGATCTATAATGGCGAGGCCCAAGAGCCAATTGACCCCAAGCACCAAGTAGCCAGATTATGGCTGATAGCAACTTTGCTGCCGATAACAAATGAGACTATCGGTGTAGGCTCAAGAAGTGCCCTTTCTTTTACGAATAATATATAGAAACTTTGAAGCGAATATAGAAACATTGTTGGATTCTTCAAGGTATGTATTAATTATTATTTGCACAACGTAACTCCGGATTTGAATAATGGAATATCATCGCACTTAAACAGTTGAACCTCGAAAATCACTGTTATAAGCATTAGATGGTAATAAGTATTCGGCCTTGTGTCCCAAGCGTCTTACGTGCGTCCCGTTGTGTCTCAGCAAAAATGGAACTATACATAGTTGATGCCGTATCCGGATAAAACATGTTCAGTTGACAATGTAATAATCGTTATCCGGATGAATCATCTTCAGATGATGCTGTTATACACGTAATTTGTTTACAAATAATTAATAGACGATGCTATACACGTTCCGCAAGCGTATTTATCAAATAAACTTTGCGAACACTCAAATATGGTAGCTTATTTTCCGAGATGAAAAACATCTATAAAAGCTGAATTTATAGAAGGCCCATGAGACTGAACGTTTATTTCGTGAATAATTGGCAACAATTGATTGCCGAGATGTGGTCACTGATCGAATCACGGGCGAGCGAGCACAATAGTGCTGAATTTTATCATTTATCATTTTGTAAAGTGACTGAAATCAATTGTCATGGTAACACGCATTGCAATTATTGAATGAGACATCGTAAATTCCGGATGATAAAAAGAAACTTAAGAATTAAAAAAAAATTTTTAGCCATCAAACAAAATGTGTGACAAAATTACGGCAAAATTGAAAAAAAAGGCTACATGAATTAATAATTTTTGTCTTGTTCTTTAACATGAAGTCGATGAACGGTAAATTGTTACTATGTGTTGGATTGCAGCTTGTATGCTTGCAGGACTTGCTTGTGAGATTGCCAACCAATGCGTAATGTGAGCAGATCTTAGTGATTCTTCTCTACCTTTAATTCCTACCCTACGGAGTTAACAATCATTGTCGGCTATATGTTGCTTACATGCATCAAACCTGTTCTAAATTACACTAAAATTGTGGGATTAAACTTCCTAAATAAAATAAATAATCAATTAATGTTAATTATGAATTAATATTTTCAATCGTATGAAAATTTATAATATCAAAGTTCTCCAGAGGGAAGAAATTTCATTTTGGCTATCGCGATATTGTGGACTCTCTTACCACGACGTAAAAGGTTGACAATTAAAGTTCCCGTACTTTCATTCACATTCACAATTATACGTGGGTCACCTGCCTGTGATGGTTAACTAATTTCCTACTGATTTATTTCACTCAAAAGACAAACTTGTGCACGGTTGCCATTATGTTATATATTAGTGCAATTATTTTCTATAGTCGCAGAACTGCTTCTGTATCGTTACTGTATATTTTTATCCGATTTTATGAAATTAATATCACACATAACACACATTATAGGCAATGAACACAATAAACACTTTGGGAGACTTGCAATCGTGGCACCTTGTACAATATGAGGTATTATATTTACAGGATTGGAACACATTCAGTGAAATGATAACTATATTGCAATCTAGTGTTTAAATAGCAGAGAAAATTAATTTCAACGAAATTGTCAGTTAATATGGCACCAGCAGCAAGCAACAGCAACGTCACCATGCCGATATGGCAGAAATGACTGCGCGCGAGACGCTTGGTGTAGCGCACGGGGGCTCCTCGGAGGCGAGGCGATCTAAAATTATGCCATTACGGCCGCGCTTTACGGCGTATTTCTAGCAGCCTAGCAGCCTTTGTACGCTCGCGCCATGAGACAGCGAGGCTCCCATGCCACGGTTGCTTCTGCGCTCACGAGTTTGTTATGTTACAAAACAAGCGTTCAACGGGACTTTGAGGCCAGAAGTTATTAATATTATTTCTTATAATACTGTAATTAATATGATTATCAATACTAATATTATTATATTTCCAATTTTCTTCAATATTAATAATATTTAATATTACTGGCATAATAATATTATAAATATTCATATTTATTTCGAAAAATAATTTATATTATTATTAAATAACACTTAGATGTTACACTACTCTGCTACCTTTGCGATTTCCAGAAAATAGTAGGGAATATTACTCTAATTCTGAGTTCTTCAGATTAACACGAGCTAAAAGCTTCTTGCATTAAAGTTTATTTTGATATGAGATTTGCCAATGGATTGATCGACATGAATTAATTCAAAATGTAAATAGGTTTGTTAAGCCTGAACAAAATTACACATTTTCCACAAGCCCAGGAGTTTAATTGCTGAATTACCGGTAGCATTGATGTTTGTTCTGCGATAAAATGCTATGAACTTCACAAGAAATGGAAGCGCGGTTAAATATGGCCTCGGAAAATGAATGTTTGCCATCTCAACATGAATTGATGCGGAAATTATTTAGTATTCTTAAGGTTTATTTTGAGAGTTTTCGTAAATTTTATTCATTGTGTGTTCCGAATACTTTCTTGTCAGGCGTTCCTGAAACCCTCTAGCTCATCAGACGACTTGCCTGGCTAATTAACTTCATGGCTAAAGTTTCTGCGCTTATTCGGTTGTCCGGAGTCTGTTAAAAAGCTGCGTAGAATGTTTCGGTGCGTTGAAAAGGTAATTTTGTATACCTTGCGGAAAGTTCGCCTTTTATATGCATATAAATTTCGAGAAACCGAAAATTACTGTAAACTGGTATCATTTGTTCATACATTAGAATTCGTGAGTTACTTCATCGATATTTGTTCATTCAGAGAGAAATTTTCATTTAATAAAAAATATGTTTATAATCTAATCCATGCTTTTTCTTGAAGCTAAATAAAAATTTTCGGTATCTCGCTAACACGCAAAGAGTCTTTACTGTAAACATGGGCATTTACCTCTTTAAAAATGCTACTATCAAACGACGTGAAAATATTTAATTCCTCTTGTGTATATAAAGTGTACACATTTCCTAAGAGGCAGTATATTTATAATCGTTTTAATGATGTAACTCAAACTGGAATTTAATTTAGTTATTTATTTAAACCCTTACCCACAATCATCCATAGTGTATTTAATAAAAAGTTTCTGAAATGTCCATAAAAACAGTTTTTGTTCTCATGAATAGCAATATTTCTTCCCTTATGTCGATGTTTGTTGTGCCAGCGCACGATCAACCGCCTGCTCGTAGTGCGCCAGAACAACGATCAACCGCTGCCGCCCTTCCGTTCAGCGGAAGCCGTCGTGCAGCAGAGGCGACCACAGATGTTCCTCGCCCTATATTCCTAATTTTCATTTGATAGTTAAATTACTTCAGTAAAAATATTACTTTACATTTATTAATAACGTCTCGAATTATTAGTTTTCACTTTTTGAAATTTAGTTTAAATTTCCTTTTACTTCATTGAACTGCATTGCAAGAAATCAAATACCACTCTATGCATCCTCTACATATATAATGATATATGATACAGACAAAAAGTGCTTGGCACACTTTTTTAGGTAGTTATTTCTCATTGAAACTATACGAAGTGTGAATACAATGTGAAGGAAATGAGCGTAAGAGATTTTCATTCGTCACTTCTGTGAGATCGCATGAAATATATATTTTTTTCATTCCGACTAGGAAAATTAATCACTTCAAATGAAGCAAACCGGAACCAGATCGCCAATGCACGCCCAAGGGAGGCTGAATCACGTCCGGCCCCCTCTGCTCCCGAGTGTCAGTAGTGACCGAAGCTCGCTCATGTCACTGTGCCACAACTGAACGCTCGACAGATAAGGAAGAAATACAACTTTTAAACAAAGTAGACGTTCATGAAATATATTAGATTAAATTGAAGTGAAGACTATCAAGTTAGAGCTTGGCTTGGATATGTCGTGGTTGCAGTGAACCCATGATCACATATCGTACCACGGAAATTTAGTGGGCAATACGATAATAGTAATACGGGCAGATAAACATGTCAGCGACGCGTTCATATTAATTATTCGTCTAAAAGCTTCTCAGATATTGAATAAATTTATGGCAAGTATTTTCAACGTGGATTTGTTGAAAAAAAATTTTCGTGTCTCACAAACTCGTGTTCCACAAACATACCATTGTCTCTAGATGATTGGACGAAAGGAAATATCTAGTCGCTATTTTACACAAAAATATTCCATTTTGTTCTGTATTTGTTCATGTGAAATAATAGGATTTTTTATCGGTTTTGTTTAACAATTATTTCGATTCCCATCCGGTTCGGTGTCCCAGGTAGTTTTGCACGATGATGGCCTTTGTGTACAGCTAAACATTCCTGACATATTTTCGTTATTTTGTCACTTGAGAAAATTTTATACGACTCTTTTTTATTTTGGATTTCTCTGCCATCAACATGCATAAACAAGGTGAGTGATATGAATCCAAACAATATCCAAAAAATAATCTTGCATTCATTTTGAATGAAATTTGTAGCCAACCTCTATAATTATGTGCTAATATGTGTCGCATGAATAAGTTACAGCCAGAGTTTGAGGAGCTTTAGAATCATGATTACCTCGTTATCTGCTAATTATAATGCGAGGTGTTTGAATCTTATCAACATTCGCAGCTATATAATATACCTGTCACTCCATATTTTGTTTTTTCTGTCGAAGTAGTGTCAACCCTCCGACTGAACTCAATATTTGATCAAGAAACAATTCCCAAGTAAATGAAGTACTTGTGGATATTCTCTGAAAATTTATTACATCAATCTGAACCCTGAACATTCCATTACTAATAATTCCACCCATCATTGCAGGCTTGAATCGTGAGCCCTCGGCGTCCGCGTCGACCATTTCTCGATCACTCAGTTTCCAGGCACAAAACGTTCCAAATTTTCAAACTTTGTGCACGTCGTCCACTCCAACCACATTAAAAAATGTGCTCGCGATGCCACAAGCACCTCACCTCACCGTTCGATCTCTCCGAGTACCGCCCCGAACTCACAGTCTCCGAATATCTCGACGACGAAGCACAAGAGTTTACAGACGGGAAAGCCTTAGTGGCAATTCTCAAAGTTGCGAAGATAACAGAGAAAACTTCAGTCTGCCAGATGTGCCCGAAGTGGAACCCGAAGAAGTTGATGTTATTGAGTTCATAGACGGCAAGCGTCCGCGGAATAGTGAGCCAGAGCCTATGACATTGCCACACTGTAAACTCGCCAGGGAGCTTTGCTTGACCTGCCTGATCGCCTCCGTTCTATTATTTCTCTGCCAGGTGGGGTCTCTTGATTTGAAATTACATGTTCATTCATTATTATTTGTAATATATATTATGATAAAGCTGAAACACTCTGCGCAATTACTGTAAACAACAACATGCTGATGTATGTGTAGGGGTGATGTATATTGCGATTGTGCTAACTTTATTATTATTAATGCAGTGCACCTGCAGTGAGCTGCACTGTTTATTGAAATCATACAGTTGCCCTTGCAAAAACACTTTATAACAAAGTGTAATTACCCTGAGTTCCGCGATTACCCTTCACTGAGATGCAGCGTTCTTTTTCACTAGCCATGTCCTGTAGAGCTCAGTATTTGAATTAAGTATTATAATAAAAAAATATAATATTAGGTATTATAACAAAATACACAATATATATTAAAAATATTATATATTATACCTATTATATATACATATATTATAATACCTAATAAAATATAAAAACATTAAATTAGGTATTATAATAATAACTTTATTGTACTGCACTGGATTATAATATTATTTGCTTGAGTGCATCCCAGACCTTAGTGATATAACTCTAGAATGCACCCATTTGGGATAGTAACCTTTCATCCCACAACACCGTCAGCTGGTGGCGGCGGGGTGCTTGTGATGATATATGATGTTATATAACCCTTCATCCCACAACTCCCGTCAGCTGGTGGCGGCGGGGTGCTTGTGATGATATATGATGTTATATAACCCTTCATCCCACAACGCCCGTCAGCTGGTGGCGGCGGGGTGCTTGTGATGATATATGATGTTATATAACCCTTCATCCCACAACGCCCGGCAGCTGGTGGCGGCGGGGTGCTTGTGCAACCCCCTGATGGTGCTGGCCGGGCTGTGGGTGGCAGCGCTGCTGCTCTGTAAAGGAGTCATCGGACTTAGGGTCATCTCGGCGCCCTCTCGAGCCATGTTAGTCCATGAAAATAGTGCATTTCTTTGTAAAATTATCGACTAGCCTTCCTTTTCGTATATACTTTTTTCCTAAAATTTAGCAATTGAAATCGACCGTCTTCCATTTTCTTTTACACACTATTTTTTTGCGTAAAATGATGTCATTCTCAAGCATTTTATTCTGATATAGACACTTTTTTTATTTTAACGTTGCTGGAATTTGCTGCAAATATTTGTATATGTGTTTTTTTATCGTTTGCAATATAACTTTTTAGTTCCTATAAGTCGGCAGTGTTTTCAGCGCGTAAATATCGTGTGTCGGAGTCGTTCGTAATGTTGCTCGTGACCTACCGTATTACTTTTCTACTTTTCTGCTTTCCACCCTTGGTAAGATGAGGATTGCGAAACATAACGATGTGAACGGTCAGGCTGTCTTCTCTAGCGGCGACAACACGAGTGAGACACCTAGTGAGCGTATCGCGCACTATCGATGATATAGAGACGCTTGTGTACCTTGCAGGGCTGAAACCAACTTAGATTCAATTCTCAGATGACCACACACAGTAAATGTTGGCTCGATGTATCTCCCGACTATTGCCTGTAACCTCATATGCGACCAGCTTTATTTCATGGATTAGAATTAGATTATACGTTCATTGAACGGGTTGTTGGTGAGGTTTAGTAACGATCAGTTCCAGCAGGTTAGAACAGAATGGAATAGAATAGAATAGAAATGTCGGCACTGAAGAAATAGGCCCATGGCCTGTTGCCCATTCTTGTACTTCTCGTGACTTTATTCGATAATGGATCCTGCCTTATGAACCCGATCTTTCCACAACTGACTATTGATTGAGATAGCTGCTGGACTTATTGCCTGGTCCGTAATTTGCTAGGCATTTTAAGACTAAACATGTGCTCTTGCATAGCTTCGTCTAGTCTGTTCTTGAAGGCGTTCATACTCGGAGCGCCAACGATGCTATCAGGAAGGCTGTTCCACATGTCGGTGACTCGAAGCGAGAAGAAATGTTGTCGCATGGATGTGTTACAACGCAGTTTTCCAGGTTTACGGCTTCCGTAAATGGCAATGTGCTGACGCACATAACTGTTTTCCATGTGCTTCCTGAATGAATTTCAGCTTCTTGGACGGTGCCTAAACAAAATACAATACAGTCAATCTCCCAACCTTTTTTGGTTTTTCGCTCTTCCCTATATTGAATATCTATACATGGCTATTGATACATTTTAGTATTTCTCACGATTAATATGTACGCGTTCTTTAATACAATACTTATCTTTTTTTTTTTTATCTAATATAAATCGTAGAATTTGCTCGAATTTTTCACTGCAAAGCGTTCTAATGAAGTAGCATCATCCCAAGTGCATGGCAGCAAATTTATTTCCGGGTTTCTTACTTTATGTACTTGTGTATGCACAACCGCAGGCTGATGGGTGACGTTGTGATGTCGGTGCTGGGTGCTGTGGTAGCGGTGATGGCTGCTGCTTACCTCGTGTCGGGCCACATTACCGTGTCCTGCGGTTCATCCCTGCACAGGCCCGACCAAGGAACAGGTGAATTAAATATAGTATAGTATCTTCTGCAATGAAGAATAGGCCTAGATGGGCCTGTTGCCGATTCTTGTACCTTTCTACACTAGACTGGCCTTTTGATCAAATCTTTTCAACGGACGGTATAGGTTTCAAATCGCTTCTAGATTTCACTTGTTCCGTAGAATACGAGGCATTTCAAGACTAAACATGTGATCCTGCATATCCTTGTCTAGTCTGTTCTTTAACGCGTTCATACTCAGAGCGTCAACAATATCTTCAGGGAGGCTGTTCCACATGTCGGTGACTCGAAGCGAGAATAAATGTTGTCCCGTGGATAAGTTGCACCGCAGTTTTTTTTAGTTTATAGCCGTGGCCTATGGTGTTGGTTCTTGTTTCAAATTCTAGCAGTCCTTGGGATCTACAAACCATGAGTATACTTGTATACTTCAATGAGGTCACCACGCAGGCGACGATAACGGGACTGATAAGCTTCATAATCTTCAAAATTTCTTAATAAAACTGGCCCCTGAAGCATGGAATTATCCTTGTTGCACGTCTTCGAACATTCTCTATTAAATGTTTGTCCTTCTCAAGTCTCGGTGACCACACAACGTTTCCAAACTTAATGGTTCGGGCTCACTACAGAGGTGAACAACTGCTTTATCATTTCTATATCTAGGTACTCGTTGGAGCATCTGATAAGCCCAAGCAGTTTATTGGATTTATTAACTTGCATTTCAGTATGACTAGAAAATTTTAGCTCCTTGTCGACACAAACTCCAAGATCTTTTTCCACGCAAGACTTCTCAATCATAACCCTCTCGTTGCAACCATGTCTTCTCATGCTGAAAGCTTGCTGTTCATTGTTCTTGCCGAGGTGAAGTACTTTACACTTGTCAGCATTGAAACGCAGCTGCCACGCACCAGCCCAAATATATATATACTTTTTTATAAATATATTACAAATATATATTTTCTTAAAACTGAATGGTTTTGAGCCTTACACATGTAAACTAAAAACGTCATTCTCTTCAATCCCTAACGACCATAATGTGTCTCATGTCATTCTTACCGCAAAACAATCTCATATATCTTTTTGCCCCGCATTAGCGGCGCTAATATATAGAGTTTCGCCCATGCAGAACTTGAATTGAAATTCGTTGAAATGACATAGAGCTGATTCAAGTAAAACTATTATTACATTCATTTTTCCTGGATAATTTTCGCCCTGATTCACGCACGTTATCATTACCACGTATCCAACACATCTTACTCTTATCTTGTATCTTGAATTTTTCTGCATTGAAAATAACATGGCACTATATTGTTTTTATATTCTTTGCGTAGTTTTATAAAAGCTACTTTGATCGTGAAATACCTCTTAATCTCTAATCCAATTTAAATAACGCGTTTCCTTTCACTTTTTATTAAAAAATTTTAATGAAACATATGCTGTACCCTTCTGTATGGATATATGTGTTTATGTATATCTACCCCTGCAAAATATTTGTGATTAGGATTTATGTAGAAATTCATTCTCAAAGTGCAAACGCATTCACACATTATGAAGCCTCCTAGTGATGCGGATAGTAGATAGAGACCAGCCCCACGCAGGCCTCAGTTAATGCGGATATTTATACGCACACACTATTAACATTTCATGATCAAAACCACACTATTAACATTTCATGATCATTCAAACATTCACTATCACCAGCAATCCGCATGTACATCCTGGAGTTCACGGCGATTGTGGCCTCCATCCCGTGCATCGCCGGCGCAGTGGCGTCCTTCATCGCTGCCGCGCTGTCCGCGCAAGCTGCCAGGGTTCGTAAGGTCTGAACTTCTATTGCATTTATAATATATTTACACTGGTTTTGTGATGTCAAACTATGCAATCTGCACTAGATAATCACTTATTATGTTATATCAGAGGATGAGTTCAAATTTAATATAGCATAGTTAAATGTAATGATTGTAATCGTGTTGGATATTGCGGTTATAGCCTAGTGATTGATTTTAATTTAATGCTGTTAAGTTTAATTTAAGGCTTGTGAGCGGCCTGAACATACATGTATTCTTTACCATTTTCATTTGTCCCGATCTAATCACATAAGATCGCAAGATGCTAAAAATTCCTAGTAGGTTGATAGATTATTAAGTAAAATTGCTTAAATGTTATGAAAGAAAAGAAAACTCTTCCCAAAAACTTCATATAAACTATAAAGTATACCTGACTCAAAAGTAATTTCAATAATTGGTAACATTGGTCCAGGTTCACTTACTTTTATGCGCTCTGTACTTTTCACAACTTTTGACCGTAAGATGTCATAAGGCTTCGAGGATCGAGTTTCAGCAGTCGTTCAAGCATTTTAGCCTTAATTGTACAAAAATTCCTGTTTAATCATTGTATGCACTTGGATCCATCACATCATTAAATAGTAGCGCCCATTATATTTTAATTGGAAACAATAATAAACTATATACGTTTGGAGATGCATATTTACTGAAAATGTGTACTTTGCTTCAGCTTTGATCTGAAGGAGCAGTAAAGCAACATGAATTATTATTGCATATAATTGGGCCCAGGCTATATAGAACATAATTAATATAAGCATGCCACCATTTAAGATTTTGCATGATCTCCGGGAGAGCAAGTAAGTGTAAATCTAGTGAGCACGACACCAATGTTTATTTATGAGATCCGGACAATTTACAAAGATTAAATTAAATAAAAACCTAAAAGTCTGATTCAAGTCTGAACTACAATGGTTCATCTTGATTCGGACGCCCCGTGCCTTCTTGGCAGGGAAATTTTGTGCTCCAATCCGTGCTCTGCCTTGAAATTCAAAGACCAACATACGTTTTGTAAAAATAATGATAAAATTTAAGGGTTTATGACCAAAAATTTAAATAAATTACAATTGATGGTAACATTGTTCGAAATGGCTTTTGCTGAGAAAACCACCGATTTAAATATTCATGTGATCATGCACTGCTATATCAATGGCATGTTTCTATTTCATATTTTAGATCTGGAATCAAATACAATTGAATGCGATACAAAAAATTGATTTAATCGATTATATCATTATTCAAATTGGTAATTTCTTTTACCAGTAAATAAATAGATTTATTATCATGTACCTTCTCCCCTCCCTCACTTGGTAGCAGACGAGACTGGACGCGCCGGTGGTTCTATTCCTCAGAAGTTGGCCTCAAGGAAACGAAATTTCATCTCCAAGTGGACGGACAAACGTGCTGGTTAACTCAACCGATGAAGAAATCGGGGGTCAAATCACGCGGGACTCTTTGGCTCACACTGCCGGCTGTGAGGGAACCGGTCGAGCTTCTACCCCGCCGCCAAACTACAGTCAAGTTGCCTGCGAATCTTTCGCTTGAAACGCAATAATCATGTGACCTAACAAAATAGTCGGATATTCCTTTGAGCCCCTAATCAGAAATAAGAAATTTATTTAATTCATGTGGATGAGTTTCTTCTTAAAGAAAGTTTGATGCTCATTGTTTGCTCGACATCATTTCCTAAAGTTCTTTATGTCAACTTTCATTATAGGGTTTCTGTTATCTTTTTTTAAAAACACGAAAGAGAAATAGTATAAATGCTGCAAAATGTACATAAAAATGTACCTCGCCAGAGTCCAGCCAACGGTCAACCTAATGGCTGACTTCTTTCGATTGGCAGTCAAACATCTTCAAATTTGGACGACGACCAATTAACAACCTAAATTATAAGTTGTTAAACATTAATCCGCACCTTTGAAGAACCACTGTGAAGTAATTTCGAACTAGTGGTAATTTTTAGGCAGAATAATTAAGACGAGTTTCCTTGCTCTGAAAACGGTTTCTCTCAGGGACGCATTGATTAAGATATTGCAATTTTGAAACAACGTATGTTTAGATAATCATCGAGTGTATAGAAGTAGCTTGTAAATATACTTGGGCTGCCTACTTGCCTTGGGCATCTTTAACATGACGTGGTGCCACGTTTTCCTGCTGTCGTCAGGTATGAGCTGCGTTGATCCTTAACAGGAGCCCACTACTCACATGCATGTGAGTTACGGGCTCCGCTGGCAAAGCATTCGGCACCGATACAAGCATAAGACATGTCACAGGCGGTAGCGATTTAATAATAATAAAAATAATAATAATAATAATAACAATAATAATAGCGGTTTCAGCGTTTATTAGGCCGTAGGCTTGTCGCCGATTCTTAACATCGCAGAACATTCGCAGCATTTTGCGGTCTCGAACCCGCAACTCACTGCTACAATTCTGCTGTGCTTAACCGCCCGGCCTCCTTGCCGCTTCTGATCTCTCTGCTCCAATCTTGGTACTCTTAACTTTAACCACTGGGCCACCATTTGAAAGCGGCATAATATTTAATTTTGTTATACTCGCGAATGAAGCATTTTGTTCTAGTACCAATTACGTGTTTGGAGGGATCGCGTTCACTTCCATAGTGTGTCCTAACTTATCGTGTTAAATATATTCAGTTGAGTTATGGTATCAATAGCCTTCAATTTCTTTCCAAGTCCCAACTTAATGTTTAATTAATGAGGATACTTGCCTTGCTAGCATCCGGTCTATTATTGGACATGTCGGAGGGATCTATCCAAACTTGGGCGGTGATTCGACCAGTTAACATAATTTCATAAGTTGGTTCATCAAAAAACCTTTTTGCCCTCGTTTCATGCACTGGCATTTGTCGGGAATAAAACGCGTGTACTACGCGTGTACTAGCCGTTTTTCTCACTATTCGCACAATTTTTACTGAACTTCACTAAAATTGAATCTATCACTTAAATCGTTACGGTACAAATTTGAGAGATAAGTCAAACCGGCATAGTAAAAAGTGAGAAAGTTGGAACCCGCAAACACGTACGTGCGTCCTCGATCACGGTCAGAACTCATCCCCCGATCACGGTCAGAACTCAACTCCCAACTTAATGACATAATCAACACTGACACCGCTATAACATTTATTGAAAAGTATTTTTAATGGCAATAATGATCGTCCTGGGCAATTGATTTTTAACGAAATCGAATAACAGGCAAATATAGATGCATGATTATTGTCAGACAATCAAAACTGGAACTGAAGTAAAATAATAATTACGTGATATTGTCTGCCAAATAGTGTTAATTTGTGTTATTTAAGAGAAGTAATGATGGTGCCGACTACATTTTAGGCTGAAGGCGGCCAATCACTAATAAAAAAAGTCCAAAATTTTCACAATTTAATAAGGAGACCGGAATTAATTAATTTTACTGTTCTAATAGTAATGTTGCTGTTTATAACAATCTGGCCGCTTGCCGATTGCACCAGAATGTTTGCTGCCAGCTGAAATCGTTCGTTACTAGCGAATCGTACTCCATTTAATGAACCTTTAAAATTGTTCGAGACATGTTGGCCCGTATGCTAAATATAGGCACTAGCACTACGAAGTAGCACTACGCACTACAAGCTGTAGTGCCTACTAGTGCGACATGAAACACTACGGTTGGCATGCTAAATAGGGCACTAGCACTATGAAGTAGCACTACGCACTACAAGCCATAGTGCGGCATGGAACACTACGGTTGGCATGCTAAATAGGGCACTAGCACTATGAAGTAGCACTACGCACTACAAGCCATAGTGCGGCATGGAACACTACGGTTCGCATGCTAAATAGGGCCAAAAGCATAACGCGCACTACAAAAATCTGAAATGTGCTACACACCGCACTTCACGACGACACTACGGTATATTTAAGGGGAGCGTCTGGGTCAAAAACTAACTTTTTCATTTACGGACGGATTTTTTTGAAACTTGGTACACATATGTAATACAAAAATCTAAGACTTTTTTGTTCGTGTCAATTTTCCAAAAAAATTGATAGAAAACGTGAAATTAATAGAAAACGGCAAAAAAGGGGGTCCTCAAGAAATCTATCTCCTCCTAGGATTTTCAAGCTACAACATTGAGAGACAAATCATTCGATGCGTAAAGACCATATCTATAAAATTGCGTATACGTTTTTCGAAATTCTAATTTTTGTGGATGTGGGGTCATTTTTCGTAAAAATTTTTATTTTTCCCCCCTTTCCCCTCCTTTTTGCAAAATATTTCTCAAACTATAACGAAATAAAAAATCCATAAGCAATTCTGTAGATCTCTCCTTTGCAAATCGAATGGTATATCTCTCAATGCTGTAGCTTGAAAACTGTAGGAGGAGATAGGTTTTCCGTGACAATAAGTGTGAATGTTGAGGAGAGCACCACCCGCCCCCCTTTCATGAAATGTCGTGAAATCATAAATCAACGTAAAGAGATGGCAGTGGTACCGTTGGATAGGGCAGAATGTCAGCTTTAAGGTGAGACTAAAAACCGGAAAAGCCAAAATTGTCGATTTTGGACCCAGACGCTCCCCTTAACCTTGTTTACTTCGTCAGCCATGGATCTGTTTGGCTTACAGCAAAGGCATCATCGCGTAAAAACCTAGGAACTACATGTCATGAATATAAAATAGTGTACCGCTTCAGTGAACAACATGTTATTCTTATGGCTGACATTTTTCTTGGCGAAACAGATGAACAGCGTAGAAGTAGAAAATACTTTTCTTGTTTTTGATACCATGTTTTGAATTTTTTTTTTTGAGTCATTTTGAATTCTTGCGCAAGAACTTTCCATGCTTTTCTCTTTTGTTCGATGTCTTTGGGAAGCGTGGTCTTTGAATATATGATGGGAAAGGTGCGCAGACGCATTGCGAATTTCAGCTCACATCACAATTTTCACTAGTACCATTACCATCACAATTAGACATTTTACGTCAATCTTCTGCAAAGAATGAGAATTAATTAGGGAATAATTCATTATTTTAGCTCTTAACTACCATTCTTCAATAGACTCATAGCGTAGTGCGGCACTGTAAAGTACTCTAACAGCGAAGTAGCACTTCGAAGCGAAGTAGCACTGACTACCTAGCCAGCTACATCAGCAAAAAAGGGCTTCTGATGGGTCAACCTTATACTAGTTCAACCATGACTTGGACTGATCAGACGCTCTTTCGAGTTCCTAGATTTAGAAACGATGAAGCAGTTGTTTGTTGCTGTCGTGCGCCCGAACCTGGAGTTTGGAATGGAAATGGAAACGTCGTGTGGTCACCGAAATTTGAAAAGGACAAAAATTTAGTAGAGAGTGTTCAAAGACGCGCAACAAGGATAGTTCCTGGCTTGAAAGGCAAGTCCTATGAGGAAAGATTAAAGATTATGAAGCTTCCAAGCCTCCATTAAGGTGCTTGTACACAGGGATAGTGCAGACGGCTAGTAGATCTGGGCAGGTACTTTCAAATATTGCCAAGTGGACGTAACTTCTTGAACTTAAGCTCAAGAAGATACGCCGAGCGTACGATCAGCGGATTTTGGCACCTTCAAAACTTCCGTACTACCGACTTAGCTAAAGGCGTACTTTCAAAACACTCCGGCTCTCAGCCAATCAGCGTGCTGGGTTTTGTTTACTTTTTTAAGTCGGATTACGCGGAGCATCAATGTCTCATGAATCGTGATTTTACAATTTTTAGCTATTATCTAGGCACTGAGACAGCGGTTTAGAAATTTGACGCCTGTAGATGTCTTGTTTTAATTTCAAAATTAATAACTTATTTTGATTTTAAAAGTATGAGCTTCCGAAGTGTAATTTGCAGCAAGAGCCCCAGCCCATGAGATTGTGATTGAGAGGGACAGGCTGCCTCATGGTTGAAATATATATAAATACTAGTTTAACCATGGACTGTCGAGCCTGTTTCAGTATCAAACTTAGCGTCTATGTTTTGTTTTTTAACCACATATTATTTGCTTGTGACTAAAAGTGGATTGATTTCATCAATTAATGAAATTTGGCAATTAATAAGCCAATTACAATTAGGATAGCTAGGTATAAGGTATGTAGGTATGAGTCAAATCTCAAAGCAGCTCCAACTTGTGAAAATGTCTTTTATTATCTGAAATTGTTTATTTAGTCTGACTTCTGACAGTACATTAAGCTCAAGTGGATGAAATTTTTTTTTGCTATGAGTAAGTGTTAACATATGTATATTTTTCTAAATAATTGAATTATCATCAAAACTATTGACATTTAACAATAACACGACCCTATTTTTAAATTCAATTAACACTTAACAGTTCATCATTTATTTGTAATGACTCCTATTCCATTATTTCCATCCACTGCTCCACATTTATTGTTCACTAATCAAATAATCATGAGCTGTTGTTGTTATCCTGCAGGCTTAATTCTGTGAACTGTGATAGCAGATAGCATAGTTGGAGCTGGAAAGTTAATAATTTAAATTTGGAAGCAAAAACTAAAGTTGGTATCAGTTCTGAAAAAAATTTTAATAAAATTTGAAATAAACGCTGTGAGCTGTGTCAAGTTCAAGGGATAGGTAGTTCAAGCAATGGAGCAGCAGAAGAAAAGACGACCAAATTTCAGTGATGAAGAAGTAATGGCTATTATCACTGCTGTTACTGAAAGGCAAGATATTCTCCTAGGAAAATTAAGCAGTGAGGAGCAGGCAATAAGTCCAGCAGCTATCTCAATCAATCGTCAGCTATGGAAAGATCGGGTTCCAAAGGCCGGATCCCTTGTGAATCAAGTAACGAAAAGTTCAAGAATCGGCAACAGGCCATGGGCCTATTTCTTCAACGCCGACACTTCTATTCTATTCTATTCTATTCAAAGTCTTTCTGCATACGATTATACGAATCAGTAGTGCGAAACTAAGCGACAGTAAACATTGTAGAGTCTACGAAGTGCTTAGTGTCTGTGACGTATTCAGCATACCAACAGGACACTTCGTAGTGCATAGTGCCCCACCAAGTAGCCATCACTCGCATTCGACTAGAATCTTGCCTCATTACACACAGTCACTTGTTTACAAAGTCCTTACCTCGCACCTGCTCCTCCTGCCAATGCCTACAAACAATGAAACACATTCTCATAGATTGCCCACTATACACCCCCCAGCAACGTAGCCTACGCTCTGCCTGTCAGCAGTTAAACCTTCCCTTCTCACTGAACACAATCCTCCTGCCACCCTTTGACCCAGAACTGATAATACAATTTCTGCTTAAGACTCACCTACTGCAATCGATCTGAAATAAGGCGGAGTGGGGGCGCTAATACCTACGTCGGTGCTGCGCCGTATCTTAACAAAGTAACAAAGTAAGTATAGTGGCAGTGCTAGTGCCCTATTTAGCATACGGGCCGGTAATTAAACATCTCGGACAATTTTACGGGCTGCGGAACAAAGTCTACTCAAACAAACCGCTTGGAGGTGAAGACATCGCAAAACGGGAGCAGCACCTCATTATCGGGGCGTTATCTGCGTTCCTCGCAAGTACCGGAAGATTGGAAACCCTGTGAGGTCTCAATAATCAAAGCAAATGATGTGGCTCCCAACTGATAATACAACTACAAGCCTGAATTAAATTGACATGTCCAGGTGTGACAACCGACCTGTGTGAGGTCATTTACTACACCTCAAAGAAGACATCATCATCAAACAAACCTGTCACCTGTACGTTTCAAGTTGCCGCCATTTTCAAATGCTGCTTGTCTTGCCTGGAGCAGCAAGGGCGATCGCAGGGCAGATGAAGGCATAAAGTGACTAGCCTACTGACTACCTACTACCTAGTACCTAGTATAGCCCGATAGGCGATAATTTTAATGGCACACTGACTCTGGCGGTTTATACTTACTAGGTAGTCAACATAACACACTGACAACCGTCACGTTTAATGGCTAATACGAGTTGCTTCGTGTCAATCGTGTGCATGTGCCCCTAAATTTAACATTACCGCTACGGCGCTGCCCTCCGGGGTGCGGTCTCCTCCCAAATTTTACTATTACTAATAGTAAAATACTATTACAAATAGTATTAGTATCTGTATTACACATACGGTCCTACAAGGCTACAGCCTTTCAGGTAAGAGAAGGTGAGTCGCGAGTTTTTTAGACTCTTCAAGTTCAATTTGAGTCCTATAGTAGGCTATACATCTTTCAACTTTCACAATTATTTCAGCCTTTCAGGGACTAGAGATTTCATTCACTATTCTATTAGTATATTACCTTACTGAATTAGTAAATTTCTACCTAGTTAATAGGAATTTTAGGAAATAATGATGTATTACTATTACCTACCCTATATATATATATTCATAGTGGAATTCTATGAAGTATGAAGAGAGGTACTTCTGGCGGTCCACCGCCGTGCGGCGGTCTTAACCTTTCACAAGGCGCCATGCATAGTGACAAACCAGAGATTTTTTAGAATCAGTTCATTTTTAACTTCCTCATTTACCTAAGATTTAAACCAATTTCTCATGTATGATAAGGCTGGTATCCAGTGTGGAATTCTAGAGGGATATTAAATTAACCAGTACACATAGCATATTGGAAAGCAGGACCTGAAAGCTTGGAAAGCCCAGGAACTTTACACTTTCAGTCAATTATTTACATATCCTATCCCTTTCCAGAATTCCAGTTGTGAATTTGGTTGATGGGATTGTGATTTTTAGCCCCTTTCAGCTTTCCAGCTGTGATTGGTTAATGGAATTGTAATGTTATCTGCTTTCTAGCTGTGATTGGTTGATAGGGAGGCCTTCCAGCAGTGATTGGTTAATGGAATTGTAATGTTATCTGCTTTCTAGCTGTGATTGGTTGATAGGGATGCTTTCAAGCTGTGATTGGTTGATGGAGATGCTTTCAAGCTGTGATTGGTTGTGCCCATAAGCCCCGCCCCTAATATGGTATATGTACTACAGTACTGGTTAACTAAATAATTAACTTAAACTTGATCATTACAAACAAAGGGGCATGGAAAATTTTCAAAAATTCCATTAAATAAAATAAAAATATCTATCAAACTTGAGACATCCAAATAATTCTATAACAAACCTAATGTACTATACAATTGAAACAGTTTGTCCACTTTTGTTCCACCTTTTCATTTATAGTCAGTCACCTGGCAGAGCACTGTATCAAAGGAAAGCTTTTCACTTTGGGTGGAAAGCTTTTTTATAAGTGAACTTCCATTCTTAGAATTCCAGCCTGCTGGTATCCAGGATACTTTACTGTTCTACTTATGGGACTCAAAAATGAACTTGAGGGAGAGTCTAAAAAACTCTCTGCTTTGCCACTATGGCGCCATGCCCTTGGCAAGTTGGCCCTTGGGCCCCTCTTGCAAGTGCCAAGTTGCAATGGTCTAAACTCAATGGTTTGACCCCATGGTCTCATCACAACTCCCTCTAGAAATATGTGGAGTTTTAAAATTGATATAAATAAATCAATAAATATTTGAACTGGGAAATTCCTTAGTTACTTATTTTGGTTCCAGAATGATATCAAATTATCAATGACAGATAAAATGATAATGACATCAGTTAAGCCTCAGCCATGTTTCCAGCTCTACTCAGTCCTTTCACTTTTACCTCGTAACTCATGTCTCATGGTCAGGTGTTAGAACTTTGATGTTCAAATGTTGACACTACTGTCAAGTGTCAATATCACAATCAAAATTAGGGTAAACGCGGTATATTCCGACATCGTAGGTAATTCCGTCACTTCTCTAGCTTTTCCTTTATATTAAGCTTTGTTTTAGTTCCATGCGTTCATTGATGGTTGAGATGGTGACGTCATACATTTGCGTGTCGAAATACTGCAAAAACACTAGGTCTTGGCCATCTAGCGGGAAAATATTGAGATCCAAAGAGAGAGATGTCGGCAATACGTATCAGTTAAATTTGAAGCGCTAATGCAATACGACTCACCACGTGTCGGATGTTGCCACACAAAGTGACGGAATATAGGGATTTGGTAGGTTTCCATTCTAAAGGCTTTTTAATAAATATGGCAACATTTTGTGACGTTTCATTGTTGCTGACGCGTAGTGAAGTGTTTTGAGAGTCATGTGAAGGCAACAGAACTTACGTAACGCATACGGTTCTTTTTTTATAGCTTTTCATTTCTCGATGCGTCCTTAAAGTGTCGGAATATACCGCGTTTACCCTATTTCACAATCAGAAATATGTTTTAATATCACAATAAAAAATATTATTCACAAATAACATTGATCGCAATGCTAAACTGTTTTTATATTCACTGCTGTCACGTGCTGTGGCTTTGTTTACATACGGCTTGCAGGGCGGCCTGCGGTGATGTCACACAACAACACAAGAACATGTCACACAATGAGACATCAAACAATGCAATATTTTGCATTTTCACTGCACCACTAATAAATAAATGTAAATAATTAGTAATGGAAAATATGTTGCTGGAACATTTTGAAAGACTGTGCCTAGGTATGTGCACAAAGTACGCACGAATGTAAACAATGCGGGCAAAATGGCGGACAGCCACTTTTCGCATCGCCTGCCTCGGCGCGTGTAAGGTATTTAATTTTGAAAATTCCACACAAATGTTTGCTTACTTTGATTGACTTGTGTTTGGAAACAAACTAAAAAAACTTGAACTATGACGACACCATTTTTTTTTTTTGAGAAATGTCTATCAAGTACCTGCTTAGCTGGGATGTGCAAGGGGTAACATTTGTGCTAGAAATAAACATTGATATCGTATTTTGAAATCAATGAAAGATAATTTGAAATCAAGATTATAGTTTTTAGAGCATGCTCTCAAAATTTCAGAGCTCTGCAGCCATTCTGACAGTTTTTCTACCATGTCATTTTGCGCAGTTTACGTTCAGTTCAGTCATGAGCCAGTGAGGTACACTGGTCCTGAACTACTGCCAAGACTGAGACATGAGATGAGACAAGATATGAGATGAGATGTGAGATGAGACATGAGACAAGACATGAGACAAGGAGATGAGACATATGAGATTGGACATGATACGAGGCATGAGACGTGAGACGAAACATGAGACAAGGCATGAGATGAGGAGACAACAGACAAGCATGAGAAGAGACGTGAGATTGGACATGAGACGAGGAAATGAGACATGAGACGAGGCATGAGACATGTCTGTGAATATATTAGGAATCCTTTAAGTATACTTATATATGCTGATTTCAAGTGGTAAATAAATTAAAAGATGATTAAGTTAAGAAACGGATTTAGACACATAAAAACTAATTCCAACACAACTTGAATTGGACACACACAACTCGTTCCAAGCTGTGTGCAAAAAATTAAAATTTTCTTAATTTAAAGCTTAATAGCTGTTAATCAAAAGCCTAATTAAGTAGTATTCAATATTCAATAGTGTTCTAATTCAAAGCTGTGTCATATTTCAATACAGCTCACACAGCGATCAGAATTCGAACACAATGATGTCGGAATTACGTATTAGTAGAGTTTGAAGCGTGGCCAGAATTCGTCTCACAACGTGCCAAATTTAGTCACACACAGCTTCGGAATATAGGGATTTGATAGGTTTGCATTCTGAAGGCTTTTAAATAAATATGGCAACACTTTGTGATGTTTCATCGTTGCTGGCGCGTAGTGCAGTGTTTTGAGAGTCACGTAAAGCAAACAGAACTCGATTAATGCATACGGTTATTTTTTATGGTTTTTCATTTCTTGATGCGTCCTTAATGTGTTGGAATATATCTACCATGTTTATCCTACCTAAAGTCCTAAACCTAAGTCTCAGAGTCAAAATTTCCAAGTAAGTTGAAATGATGCAATAGCCAATAGGTTTTCTGTACCTAGCAGCTAAATTAGTCTTATTCAGTAATTGCATCATTTGAATGGTTGTAAACTTGTAATTCTTAATATTTCAAATTTTTGAAATAATAGTGTATACCTAGAAGTCAAAGTGAACTTAGTGAAGTAGGCTAACATCATTTCCATTTGAATTAGGAAGCAATCGATCTCACCCTATTATCATGATCAATTTGTTTTTTGTCACTCCAGGTAAACCCACACAGTTCCTGAGAGTTAAGTTAACATCTCGAGACATTGATTATGTCACAACTGTCGTAGAAAAGTTTGAAATATAACAATATACAATATTAGTGAATATACAATTATAATAATACCATATTATTGTAACAATATCTTCTTATTCTTCTAGTGCTACACAAGCACACTAACAGAACTGTCTAAACCTTTATCTGTCAATTTTGATTTTTGAATTGAATTTGTCAAATCTACAACTAAAAGAGGTTTGTAAGCTCTAGCACTGCAGGGCAGCCTAGGCCCTGCAGAATGTGTACTTTCATTAACAGTTACAGGAGATTTTTAATATCATTGTGGCTTCATAATTGGTGGAAAGCTCTGGTTGTGTCTCAAAAGGTTCAAATACTCCATGTGTACTTTCATTTACAGTTTACAGTTGAATAGGAGATTTTTAATTAACGTGTTGCTCCAAAAATGGTGGAAAGCTCTGGTTGTGTTTCAAAAGGTATACGTACCTATATATGCCAACTTTGCCAAGTGTATGTTTATTTACAGTTTGACAGGAGATTTTTACTTAACATATGGCTCCATAATTGATGGAGATCTCTGGTTGTGTTTTGAAAGGTATATATACTCCTTCTCCTTGTATACTTTTATCTACAGTTTGATAGGAGATATTTAGTTAGCTTGTGGCTCCAAAATTAGTGGAAAGCTTGGCGTGTCTCAAAATGTATATATACTGATATCAAGTTTTACAACTCCTAATATTTTTCACTTCCGTCATTTGTAACACAGGTTCTTATTACAGTTTTTATTACTTCCTTCATTTGACTTGAGTAACTTTCTAAAATGATCAGCATTGAAGCTCAAGTGACTCCTCTTCTCAACAAGCTTGAGCTAGATATGTCAATTCAGCATCTTGTAACTAACTGCTCTTGAGTAGTCCTAGTGCCACAGTGAACTTGAAGTGCTAGAATAATGGGACCATAATAATGATATCTACTTTACAACATTTGATATTCGTTTAGTCTCTATGCTATCTAAGACAAGGTCATGAGCTGTTGACAAGCAGTGTGAGCTATTTATGCTATTGATTCTATTATTCATTCACTGGCCTTTCCCTTGCACCATCTCACAATAATTCATATTGCACTACATCCACTTGCTTGATTTGTTGATTGCCAGTCAATCATACTATGTTGGCAAGTCTCAACTCGTTAAAATTGTATTTCAAATGTTGATTTATGTTCATTATATATCCACAGTGGATATATATATATATATATACCATATAATATATATATATATTAATTGTATCGAATATCTCAATATTCGAATGGTGTTGTATATAGGAATAAAATAAATTGCCACATTATCTAATAATCCTAAATAACCATATCCATGAAATATTAGATCTGACCCAACGCCTTTTTGACTTTTGAATTTTTCGCCCCCAATTGTCCGTGATACTAGTAAAATTCAGAGCAAGGAAAAGCCAGGGTGCGACAGCTACAACAGCGCTGTGGCTCCAGTGGAAGGCAGATTTTTTGGATGTACGGACGGATCTGGATCCTACTGTTGCTACGGAGAACTAGAGCCTGTGTTCGTGTTGAGCTCGTGATGTTCACGTTGGATACCTCCTCCAAGTGATGTTCCCTGGCCCTGTGGACCGACGTCTAATGTCTCCTTAATCTATACCTGCACCAGCCGCCCCGGGATGATGGACCACTCTTCGAAGACTCAGCTGGATCAAACTTACCAAGTTACCATGGAGGCCAAGTCTTTATTCAATACACTGTAAGTCCGGCATTGACAGGGCGTGATTCATTGTCAAGGATGGTGTTGGGTTAAAGATCTAATAGCCGCTTCACGGCCTGATTTATAATAAAGATGTAGGGCCAACTGATCTAATGTTATGTTTTCAATAGAGCAAATGATATGAAATGATTTTTATAAATTGATCCAAATGATGTATAATTGAAGTATATTGATGTGATCTTCATTATTTACTTAATAGATGCCGCATGATGACGTACGCATGACGTCATCCGCCTCAAGTTTTCTGCTGGCCCTTCATTGAACGAAACAGTGGCGGAATTCACGCAATCTTATTTACTTCCTGCACACGGTTGATCGAATAAATTATTTCGTATATACAGTTTTTGTCTTTCCGCCATAAAGTTTTCGTTAAATTGCACTTTACTGGACTATGATTTTTTTTGACCCAATGACCTAAGTAAAATTGGGAAAAAAAGCAAAAAAAACCTAACCTGGCTGTACCTAACCTTAGTAGAAAGGTGTCAAGCAATGTAAAGAAGGGTTTATACACACCTAACCCTAACTCTAACCCTAACCTAACGAGGTCGGCGTTTCTTAGAATGTCCGGTAGTGTTGTTCATTTATTTTTGTGTCCGGTTTTTAAGTACAAACAAATTGTAAGGTACATAACCGGACTCAATTTTGTCCAGATTTCTAACCCATGTCTGGTAATGTAACCAATCCTGTCCGGCTATTGTTCAAAACTTGTTTATATATATATATATTGATTCATTGTTTACCATGATCATACTTTGTTTCAATTTCACATGAGCTTAATCAGTTATGTTCACTTTGCTTTTGTATGTTTGTTACTTGAAATAAAGTTGTATTCTTTACTTCATATTGTAATATTTGGTGTGCTGTTAAAGGCTCTAATTTGGAATTTGAGGATCAATTCAATTGGCATATTAATGTTACAAATTGATACAAAATTTTAAACTGATTCAAGTGAACAATGACAACACTGCTCACCAAAGACCTAAGGTGCAAAGACATTTCAATAACTTATTGTCCCATCACAGTTAACATAACTCATTCCAACTGCTTATTGCACATGAACTTGTGTGTTGAACTGTGTTCACTGTACCAGATTATTTATTAACATGTTTTTTGTATGAAATGTGCAGTGAAGCATTATGGCATCTGATGAAGAGTCAACTGCAAAGTTTTTCCGCAGAAGTTGGATTTGCTACGAGCTCGAAGATTGGACAATGCCCAATTCACAGCTCAATTACTACAGCTTACTACAGTTTATCAAGTAACTTGAATTTTGTTGTAATACTTTAATAGACAATGAAAATTGATTGTGGTATTTTCTAGTTGTCACTAATATAGGTACGGTATATGACCAAAGATATAGTGTTGAGCACTGCCTTTGAATCTTTGATTGCTTGGAATAAATTTGTCTTACAAAATGAGATGTAAAGTTAAAAGTTAAGTGTATCTTCTAGTTTATTAAAATTGGTGTGAACTAATTTTTTACCAAGCTTAACAAGTTAACATCCATTGGATGATCTGAGTTTGGAGAGTTTTTAGGAGTCGCTGAAAATCATTGCAAATTTGGTGGGAGAGGATTGGTGAATTATACAAAGTTATCATTTACAAAGGCAGATTTACCATGAAAAAAATCTAGAAGCCTTTGGGAACTATAGAGCTGCTTTAATCAGACATGGATTGTATCTTGCTCTTGTGCATGCAACTGTTAGGAAGTTACAGTACCTACTTCTGTTGTCTTAATCAGATAATTTTTTATGCATAAAAGCAAATAGCATGTTTTACACTTACAAATTTTAAGGTATAACTTGTTTTTCAGAAATAAAACACTAGTGCATGTGTAGCATTGGCAATGGCAACCTGAATCACAACATTGCCCTCACAATTAGGTCCATGCTTCATTTTGAAAAATTTTTGGTCAAGGTCATTCTTTGTATTTCCTTACCTGCACCTCTTGTCTGATCTGTATTTCTTCTGGGCTTGATATTGATCATCCTACCTTGTTTGCCTAGTTCATTTAAATGCATCTACTCACCAATGCCTTTTTTTATGCAGGTGCTTTGAAGGATTCTCATCTTACTGCGGTGTCTACATTGCTCCCTTTGCGCACGAACATTTCCTGTGCAGCACGATATGTCTGAAACTCCTTCCAAATGCTGTCCAAATTTATAATGCAAAACAAAAGGAGGTACCAGGAGTATCCAAAGCAAGTGTTAAGAGTAAGAAACCTGCTGCAATGAGAGGCAAAAATGAAAGCATTTCCTCCAAGTCAGGGGCAATGATGAAGACGGGAAGTGTGAAACAATCAAAAAGACAAGGCTACAAGCGCAAGAAACGCGATCATGGAGATGATTCAGAAAATAATGCTGGTGATTCTTCTGAAAATGAAAATACAGGCACTAAAGGGAAACCAGGGGCAGATGATATGAACCTCACCCACATCAAGAAGTTCAAAAACGCAATTACACTCAAGGTAGGTATTGATATCCATCGGGTAAGTTAAAATGAAGTTGAAAGTTGGTAAATGTCCTACCAATAATTATATCATAATTAGTTTTAAATCTACTCATAGTTCACTTTAGGAAATTAATCTATGTTTGCTAAATTTTCAATTCAATTTGAAGTCAGGATTTCATTAATATGTGCAGCTGTTGTTATGTTGAACGTGTGGAGCAGGACAGAATGAGTTCATTTGAAGCTAAGGATTTCAACACATCTGATCCGTGATACACATATTTTTTATTCATTAGTACTACGTAGTGATTATTCTTTTTAAAACATTGATATCAAACAAACATTGCTGCATTGTGTTATTAGTAACCTCACTACATCAATTCATGTCTAGGAAGTGTACAATACAAGAATACAATACATTCAAGTATGACTTTTCTTCTCTATATTGATAAAAGAAGCTACACCTTAAATGCAAGCTCCACCCACTTTGAACATGTTAACATAATTCGTTCAGCTCATTGCCCTTGTTTGAACTAAGGTGGTGCTGGACGCCGTGGAGATGATGCTGCTGGTGAGCCGGCCGTTGACTGGGTGGCTGATGGGCGCTATGTGCCGCAGCCTCGGGTGCTCCGACCTCAGTGTCGTGGCCAACTTCAAGGGCGACGCACGACACTACTTCATGCTCCGCGCCCAGGCTGCTCCTGAGGGCATGGGTTCCAAGAGCTCGCAAGCTCTCCTCGAGGTCTGTCCATGCTGAATTGTAAACCATGCTGCAATAATATTCATCATTGATAATATTCATTTCTAATATATTCCAGCCATGCTAGTCTTGCATGAATATTCACTTATTTGCCCTGGTGATGCTTGAATTATTTGTTTGCATAGATATAGATACATGTTTTTTAACTCAATGAATGACCCTTTTGGGTTGTTTCGTAATTTTAACAGCCAAATATATGCTCAATATAATTAAATTGTCTGTTGTAAAGTTATTTTTGTAGGACGATGGCCATTAACGCGTTTGTATCGTGGCGCATAATCCCAACCTCCAACATATGTTTTTGTGTACTATATTTAAATGCTTAAAACAATTAATATTCTTTTGCGCTGGCTCTTCTCAGTTTGTTGTGAAATTTAATAATCTACTGCTTACATGTTAATTTATAGTTTTTACACTTTTTTTGTGATACCTATTTATGAATCGTGACGTTATCCTGATAGTCTCCAATTTGATTTATGTATCCTTCTATCACTCTCCATCCATCACATCTTTCTATTTGATATGATGTCTGTTTATTGCTTGACGTCGTGTTCCTCGTTATGTTGACACGTCTCTGATGGCTTTTCATCTTTCATGACGCGTGTTTGGGGTGCAGCACGAGTGGATGTGCGCGCTGCAGGCTCGTGGTCGCGTTTTCGGCGGCCGCCTTGCTTTGGGCGACGTTACACAGGGCATCGGCGCCATGACGGACAACTTTCCTGCAATCTCCTCAATCCACGTCACCGGCAGAAACGTGAGATGTTAATAGGATGTCTATGAAATGTTGATGTGATGTTGAGATTTCGAGCAGCCCTTAGTAACAAATTCGACTCTTGAAGTAGCCCTGAAGCCAACGCTCTGCATAAAGTAAACAAACACAGCTACACTTAGCGTCGGAGCTACGAATTTGCTTCCTAGGGTAGAAATCTATCTTTCCAGCCAATTTTTCATAGCATAAAATAAATCATGAATACAAAAATACATGAGCGCTTAGCTATTAGGCATCTCTACTCAACCTCTGTATCAAATCTACCTGCTACTAATGTCTTTTCCGTCTGTCAGGTGCCGATGCCGTCCATGAAGTCGCACGCATCAGACCTGCCGGTGGAGAAGCTGCAGGCAGTGGAGCGTAATTTGCTCAGCTTGCGGCTGCCAGAACTGCGCATCCAAATCTCGTCCCCTTCACTGCTGCATCTCTACTGCAACTCCGCTCTGGAGGCCTACCAGTGCAGAGGTGAGCATTTCCCTGCTCCAGTGCAGAGGTGAGCAGTTCCCTGCTCCAGTGCAGAGGTGAGCAGTTCCCTGCTCCAGTGCAGAGGTGGGAACTCGGAATGTGCCTACTATAAATTTAGGCTCCAGTGCAGATATTCTCAATCTGATCGATCGACGGGCCAAGATTTTCCAAATGATAGTCATGTTTCTGTGCAGGATTTTCCTAGTGGCCATTCAAAGGAGCCATAACGGGGTGCTTAGCCTCCTTCATGTATGACTTCTGCTGTCTTCTAATTCTTTAATGCCATATACGAAAAATGTTCGTTCTAGTTTAATCCAGAAGACAGACAGTAGGAACTTTTGGCGTGATCGTGCTTGTTGATGGTAGATTAGTAGCTATCAATTACTGATGTTGAGGAACATTTTCCTACAGTTCTTTGCTCAGTTCAATGATTATGATTTTTTTCTATCTTAGATTCTGTCAATTCAGTTCTTTTACACCGAAAGTAGATTGAATCCGACATTAATTAATCAAAAAATTTTTTAGTACTGTGCTTATAATGACATGTAACGCGTAAGAGAAGTTGACTGAATGTGTTTTCCCAGATGCCACTCGTCGTCTGATGATAGATTCCGGAGACGCTATGAAGAGCGCGCTGGTGCATTGGCCTCCAGTTGACGAAGGGACGTGGGGGAGAGTGGATGGCTCCGCTGCCGCTCGCGGCGGGGCTCTTCCAGCAACGCGGAGAAAGAGAAAGAGGCTACTTCTAGGCGGGGTAGTAAAGTCACCGCCGTTATTTTTGCAGAAACTTAGGTCCGCTGCTTCTCTTAGATCAACAATAGAGTATAGCTAAGTGTCTGAAGTTTGCGTTCGAAAACGAATGAAATTATCCTGATTCAACAATTTGCGTAAGTTCAAACCCTATTGCTATTTAGATATTCTAGATCTGGATATTAGGGTTTTATTTTAAGATACACTTTCTGTTCAATCTTATTTTCAAATGCAAAAGAAAACAGATTTTTCAACTGATTACAACCCCCAGTCTTTAAAGGGGACTTTCGTGCATATCGTTTTATTCCGGTTTTCAAAATTTATTCCTTTCATTAGTGAATTATTCTCACTTTTACGATGAATTTCGTTATATACATAAATCCATAAAATGGCCATCGCTCGCTAAGGCGATGGACATTGGCGTTGGCAAATGTGAGTGAAATAATTGACGGCTACTAATTCATGCCTTCCAAATATAAGTAGCCATAGATTTATGCTCACATCTGAAGTAAAAAGAAACAAAATAATAACAATATGTTGATAGAAAAGAGGATTACAACGTTTTTCATTGTCCTCAATGACTATTCCCTGGAACAGCGACTGGATCTTCGTTCATACTCAACACAGAGCAAGCATTGCCACAAACAGCGGCATGCTGTCATATCGAATTATTGATCTTCTGAAACGTTGATTTTTTAGATTCCATTGCGCTGGTGATTATCCAGGATTGATTTCCAGAACTCAACTGTTCCGATTAGTGTTTATACCCGTTATAATTCCTGAATTGTTAAGAGATTCCAAGAAAATCAATGTATCTGGAGGTAATCTGAACGTGCGTGACAGCTTCTGACTGCACTGGAATTCCACGCTCAGATCGTTGGGGTTAAATTGGGAGAAAGGCTGATTGCCTAAAATAGTGATACGGTACAGTTCCTTTTGCCTGGTGTTCGTTAAACTTGTGAAGTAATAGTTGGATATTAAGTTGGGACTTTTCTGATGGCCTCGGCTATAACCGACTAGCTTTAATCTGCACGATGATCGTTGGTAAATAGAAGATGGGAGTAAGTTAAATGGGAATTCTAATATAATCATTTACAGAATCTATGAAGAACACTGGAAAGTGTGCACTATTTACATCCATCATCCTTCGTGTCCAAACAGTTTATTCCTCCAACACTGTTGAATTTACTTAGCTTCAAAAAATTTAAACGACTTCCATACAACTAAAATTTTGATAATAAAACAAATTATTTGTGACAACAAGCTTTCGTGATATTAGAATTACAAATTCATACATAAATGTAATTGGCATGCCATGCTGTATTCAAGTGAATCGTACTGAACCTCTATTCAACTCTGCGTGGAATTTCAAACATTTTACATCATGATAAAATTCCCCCAATGACGTTAACATTGTGCTAGTAAACTAGTTGATTATAAAAAGGAGAAATGGCACCAAATGTTATCGTTACCTCGCAATAGAAGTTCAAAGCTCTCTGCCTTATGTTCACAATATCATGCTTTCTATAGCAGCCTGCACCCGAATTTATTGCTGAGAAGCGACGCATTCGTCGCAAAATTTAATCGCCAATTCAGTCCGTTTCATTCGAAATTTATTGAAATTGAAAATAATTTAATTTAAAGAGCAACTTGGCAATAAGCGGAAACTGATAACAACTTGGCACCACTGACGAGTTCCTGCAATTTTTTTTCCGACATTCTCTCCTCTGAAATTTATCAGATGTCCTTGAGCCGACGTAAACCAAAAAGCTTCTCAAGGCAGGTCTTTACAAACCCATGGCCGTGCTATCAAAAAAAGTCCAGAGTTCGTAATTCGTAACTCCCTTAGCCAATCACCGAGCTTCTCAAGCTAAACCCAATCCTAGGCGTGAATTCGGCCGCTGCGTGTACTTGAACAGTTTTGGATTGTATAAGTACAATTGTACCTCAACTCGATATGATTATAGCATTGTAAATTATGCCGTGTGACAAGGCTCCAGTTTTGATAGTACGGTCCATGATCAAGAAGTTCGTTCAGACAAAGACGGATCGGCAAGTTAATCACGAAGAAAGTTAACACAGACGTCTCAAAAATACTCTACAATTCGGTTATTTATAAGCGTTGAGCAAAAATGAGCCACGTAAGCTAAAGGTGCAAAAAGGTAAGTAAACAGAGAGGAGCATCGCATGAGCGAGTAATCAAGCAATAGATTACAATCGATCGCTATTTTTTGGGATATAAAATGGAAAATATATATATCTCTTGGGGTAAGCTTAAGGAATAAACCGCTCATTTTCTAAACATTTCAGTTGCGATATTGCAGAAGAGAACTCGCGGCGATCAAACTTGGTACGATAAGAAAACCCGATTTTCAAACATCTAGTACTTTCTAGTGCTTGGCCAGTTAGGGTTTTGATCTCTAGCACTTTCGATGGGACCTAGCATTGCAAACATAATTAAAAATATTTATAATTAAAAAACTGAAATAAAATGATCACTTTGAGTCCGATCTGTCATGACTGAATGGTCATCTCCAGCGCACTTCGTTTCCACTTCCTTTCATCATCGCTTTTCCGCACTAGTCCAGTTGTGGCGGCATAACTTGAATTTTGATAGAGAATCATGCAACAAACAAAATACCTGCCAAGTTAAACATGAGAAAAATGTATGAGAAAGCCATTCAAATGAATTGTTTGAAAATCCTGATGAGCCGAGCATGCAAGTAAAGAAACCCACGCGGGTTATTAACAACAGTAACTAAACAAAATCCCACTGCAAACAAAGCTCAACAAATGTCACAGGGCCTCTGAGATGAGGCTCGCGGGCTATCAAAAGAACCAGTCAGTCCAACACTCTCGTATCCTGCATACATCGTCCATGAAAATATGTAAATGATATCACACCTGCCACTTTCTTATTTATTATATCTTATCGATTGCATTTTAAAAAAATTCCCATTTCTAACAATTATTCCAGAATGAGAAATTGTAAGACTTTTTTTGACTACTTCTATTTGCAATATTCGAGAGGACTTCAAGAAAGTCTTAACTGAGAAATAAGCCTTTCAAAGTCTATAATGAGGCATCCTGCCGCTTATAGGCTTAAGGGACGTGGAACACACACAAATAAGTTGGTTCATGCATTGTCGCCGTTGGCAGTGATGAGCTCATACAAACTTTACGCTTATCACATATACGATGAACATTACAGTGATTACACTATGAGGGAGGAATACAATGTAAGAAAAGCAGTCACATCATGTGGACAGGGCATGACACCACGAATAATAGAATAATTTCCATTAACGAGAGACTGGTCGTGTCTTGCTAAGTTTCAGTTCACTGGCTCACTCGCTCATATGAGAATATAAAGACTGAAAATTAAATCGAGAAAATTTCTCTAACAACGAAAAAATTTTTCTTAGGTTTGGTATTCTGGTGAAGGGCATTACCATGTACAGAAAACATGCGCTGCATTGTTAATCAATTGTAAATCAACAAAATTTTGGTCTAATTCCTTTGCAAAACGCGAAAAATGAAGAGAAGCAAGATTAAATCGCTCTCAACGATGCAGTTACACCAAATCAACGAACTAAATGATAAAGGAGATTTTATTGGTTCAAGAATTTATTTAAAACGTTGCTGACATATATCAGTAAGATTCCAGAAAAAAATTCAGCTTCATAAAATTTCTAAAATTAAAAAATAAAACGTGCATTAAGTTTCTGTGGGGCCGAACATTCGCTAATTGAAATTTGCATGTAAGTATACAGTTCAGTATTGACCAAAAGCTTGCCTGAAATGGCAAATTAGGCACACAATAGCTCATGGCTTCATTACAGATTTCTGTCAGCGGAACTAAAATAAAACACTAAACTACTAACTAAAACAAATTTTCTTAAAAAAGCAATGAAAAATACGAGCTCCGTGCATGAGCAGGACTTATACAGTCAGCGGGTAGGAATTTCAGTTTGTAATGATAATTGCTCGTTAGAAGTGTAAGCCTTAATGATCTGCCGGATTTTTTTTTTGCCAATTATCAAGCGTGTACTGGAAGAATCAACGCCATAATGCCTCATCCATCAATTCAATGCCTATAACTAGGTACTCTTAAAGTAAGTTAAAAGTTACAGCAATCACAGATAGTCGACTCGTAGAAAACGAAAACTTGCCTACTAAGCTACCCTGCAAACTCAAGTCATGGAGCGCCTCACACGCACGTCTATCGAGTCATAATTCTCGGTCAGCAATCACCATCACAGTAGAGTGAACGGGCCGTATTATCCTTATAGTGACAAGCTTCCTTCCCACAGCTCGAGCAGAAAGCGGACGTAGCACTTGTAAACACAAGAGCAAAACTCACACAGGAGCAAAAATTGCATCACTATTCCGACAGTCTTACTCAAAATCTCACAAATAGACTGCAGTGTACTGGTCAACCTCAAAGTAGCCATGAGACCAGCAAACTAGAGACTTTGCTACGCTTGTATTCAGAGTGATAAGTTAGCAGTGGTGGAAAACAAGCCTTTCTTATGTCAAGAGAGCTACTAAAAATAAAGTTTTTGAGGCGCAGCTGCAACCGATCAAGCTCGCAAATCACTATAATTTTTACATTTCGTTTTGGAATTTGTTAGTTAAACTGATAACGATGGAGTGAAGCAGTATAACGAAATTAAAGTGATTTTGAATTAAATGCACTTATATTTTTCATATTCAAAGCTGGATACTTGAACTTTGCAGTGAAATGACTTAAGAAAAAACGAATTGTCAAGAAATCAACATGGACCGTAACAAATGTTCTCGCCTAAAGAATGACCAGCTGCCTGTCAAAAAAGAAACTTGCATGCGTATAGTAATCTTAAGAAATTATTAGCACCTCAGATATCTAATATATCATCAGTCTATCGAAACAATCAAGACCTTTTTGAACAATAAGTTGGGTTGAAAATAATAACTCATGCGAAACTTGCAGCGAAAGTGATGAGATTAGGACACTGATGGCCATCAATCTAGTTCCTTAAATTTTATGTAAATTGTGCAAACAGAATTGTATAAGTAACTCAATTCAGTGCTTTTCGTGAGCCAAGCGTTTATTACTACTCTCTTTCAAAACAAATGCTGGAAAAAAATGCCCAGCCAGCAAGCCAACAAAATTAATCACATGGCTTGTCAAAGCCACCTCAACCTAGCGACTTATTATCTCAGTTATCCCACCAGTTGAGCACAATTCTGCTAGTGTTGGTACACACTAGTACGTCTAATTGATTGTTAGGACACCGAACAAGAATCAATTAAGATCCTGAATCCGCTTACTTAGATGGATTCGATCATTCAGTAAGCATAAGTATATGAAGATGGGATATATTTTTCTCGCTTAAGTTAATTATTGATCACTCCAACAACTGAGCAACTTCATCATTAACATTGAATGGCTTCAACATTAATGATATTGAACGAGGAAGTACCGATGTGGCACTTGTTAAACGGTAAGTCTGGCAGAAACCTGGCGAATATTTTTGCCACAAATTCATACAAATAAGAACAATCGAAAGCAATGGTTATGAGAAATGCTACGGTCAGCTCACAATTGGCATCTCCAAAGAATCTTTTTGCCATTAGCTCTTTGTTAGGAGAAAACAACGTGATGAAGTGAAAAAAAATGGGTCTAACATTGAATGCCAGTGTTAAAAAGTAAAAGTATGGAACGACGGTTAAACCAAACTGTTACCATAGATAATGTGAGGATAGAGAACAAATATCCATAAGACCAGTAAACATCAATTGACTTTGCTGTCAAGTTTCAGCAAGTACTCGTAAAATAAATAAGCATGCACGTTGTCTGCATGAAACAGAAAATTATTAAGGAAAGACAGTATGAGTACCATTTCACAAAAAGAATATCGTAGGAAACACAATATATCATCAATTGGGTCATAAACCTGCAAATTTCTTCGAATATATTGGTTTAGGAAGGAAGAAAATGTGTTCTCGTGATGATAAGGGCGTCTCACATGAAATGCCGTAGTTATTGTCTCGCTCGTTAAGACATTCATGGAGAAGTAATCTGTCTTTATAATATATAAATATAGGTATTGGATTTCGAAAAACCATTGATTTTTTATACTTCTCCCTTTAATTATTATTGTACATGCATTTCGAATTAAAAAAACATTCTTAGTCCAAGAAATTATACAGTATTTGAAAAAATTTGTTTATGTAAATACTGAAAAATTCATAAAAACAAAGAATTTATGCTCAATTGAAATCCTAGCGAAATTATTGGATGAATCAGGATCCTATTTTAAGTAAAATATAATCTGTGAATATCCTTTTTTCTATTATTTTCATCTTCGACATTTCAAGTGACAAACCAATGTCTTCTTTCACGAAAGCAGAATAACACGTTTCTTCTTCTTAGGAAAAATGGTAAATCAGCTAAAAGCAGCCTTGTATTTCAGTGAAAGGCATTACATCATGAAAATTATTGCCTTTCGCACATCAAGATCTTTTATTCATCATATTGTTTACGATGCCCATAGTTTTTCGGCATGACAAGTTGTCTCCGCAGCTGATGTCATCACTAATTTTTCGAGTTGAAAGGTGATAGAACAGGAGCCTGAGGCAAACTGCTCAGATGTGTTGCTGCGATAGTGACACCAGCGCTACATAGTCCGGTAGTTCTCCATGTTCACCCTCACTCGCGGCACTACATAGTCCGGTAGTTCTCCATGTTCACCGCTACTCGCCACGCTACATAGTCCGGTAGTTCTCCATGTTCACCCTCACTCGCAGCACTACATAGTCCGGTAGTTCTCCATGTTCACCGTCACTCGCAGCACTACATAGTCCGATAGTTCTCCATGTTCACCGTCACTCACGGCGCTACATAGTCCGGTAGTTCTCCATGTTCACCGTCGCTCGCAGCGCTACATAGTCCGGTAGTTCTCCATGTTCACCGTCACTCGCAGCACTACATAGTCTGGTAGTTCTCCATGTTCACCATCACTCGCAGCACTACATAGTCCGGTAGTTCTCCATGTTCACCATCACTCGCAGCACTACATAGTCCGGTAGTTCTCCATGTTCACCGTCACTCGCCACGCTACATGGTCCGGTAGCTCTGCTTGTTCACGGAGTCACGGCGGCTTTTGGACGCGAAGCACAGGCATCCTGCCGTGTTGCGAGATCGTTTCAAAGGCTTCACAGGATTCGTTTCACGTTGTCGGTCCATCAAAGACCGTTCGTAGTAGTCGAAGTCCTTAAGGTACCTGGAATTGAAGACGAAATATAGAAACCGTAATCCCATTCAGGAATAATGGTTGCAGTAAACACAAGCTATTTGAATACTTCTTCTAACTCAAAGCGTTTAAAATCTGCTTCCGATTGCTTGGTAGATAAAAACCTCTAGAGCAATTAATTTACTCGTGACTTAGGCCATATTTCTGATTCCCAGAATTATACGGTATTCCATGGGAGCTTTTTCCCAGACACGAATTTGTTACTTACGCTTCCACCAATATAATTCTATTAGATCATACATGTATTTATCAAAGTTTGTGTCAAGTGCTTGTTTTCAGCCTGATGCCGCTGTTTCAGCCTGATGTTGGGCTGTTTGGACGAGCATTCTCCATACTTATCGTGTCGGGATATTACCAGAACTTAAAATGAATAATAAATATTATTAAATAACTTCCACTCAAATTCTCATTATCCCTCTACTAAAATTCTTAGTGGAAGGATAGTGAGGTACCTATTGCAAAATAGACAGGCCAGGATTGGATACAAATGTGAAGTTAAATTTTTTAATAAGCTTCACTAATTTAATTTAAAAAGATATTTTTCCATATCCTTCAATAGTAAAATAGTAAAATGGGAGTAAAATGGGAATAGTAAAATGGGAGTTATACGTCCTTGTAGACGGTGCGCTTTTCTTAACCGGCACATCTTGGCAACATAAATATTTACGGCTTGAAACAATGGACTAATCTGCGAAAAACCTGTGCTAGTATCTGTACAAGAAAGACAATTGTTTTCAGTGAACGACATTGATTTCTGTATTACAATAGCAGGTGAGCATTTTGTATATGAATAGGAGTCAGGAAAAATTACCTCGATGGCGTAACTAAGCAATATAATCACGAAAGCCTGTCTTTCTTTTAAATTACATCGTTTGATTAACAACGCATTTTTAATGATATTTGTGCTGGTCGTTGGAAGGACATAATTTGGATTCACTAGCGAAGTGTGCGGCTGTTTGGATAGGCTAGAACTGAAGCACTAACCATACAGGAGGCCAGCGGTGGCGGTTGAGCCAGGCCTGGTTCTCGGGGTGGAGGCTGCGCAGGAGCTTCGAGTGCTTCTGGCAGACGTTGTTGTAGGAGGACGCCAGGTGCACCAGGCACCACTCGACCAGCTGGTTCGCGTTGTGTAGCTGAGATTTGAAAAATTTATTGACAGCCATTGAACCGATAACAATGTAAAGAGTAATACAGTCAGTGTGATCACCAGTCCGATGCAAGATACAGTAAGAGCCCCATATCAGCTTCCGGAAAGTTTGAGAGCTTGTCAATTAAACTGAATGAAGCCATCATAAATTTGATCAGCAAATATGAGGGAAGCAGGCAATTCGTGGCATGGATTCCAACTCATAGACGACTAACCTAACGAACACCATCACGCGTAGCTCAAACTCTTCTTACTTAAAACAGACAATTTCAACGACAGAATTGCATTACTGTAGAGCTGTGTTAATACTGCATCACATAAGAGAGGGACAACTACAGCTACATGGATGAATATACTATCACATTAATAAATACAAAAAACTGTGGAGTATTTCCTTCACCTGCAGAGGTTCGAGAAGCAGGAGGCAGTCTTCGCTGACGTCGCCGCTGGCCTGCAAGATGCGCTGGAAGAGATCGATGATCTCGACCTCGACGAGCGACACCAGCCGCGGCAGGCAGAGGCGGTTGGCAAGCTCCACCGTCGGTAGGCACTCCCGCACCTGGCAACACGCGCCAATAATAAAATAGAATAGCATAGAATAGAATAGAAGTGTCGGCATTGAAGAAATAGGCCCATGGCCTGTTGCCGATTCTTGTAATTTTCGTGACTTGATTCACAAGGGATCCAGCCTTTTGAACCCGATCTTTCCATAACTGACGATTGATTGAGATAGCTGCTGGACTTATTGCAAGGCCCGTTAGGTGCTAGACATTTCAAGACTGAACATAAGCTTATGCATAGCTTCGTCTATATGGATTTGGCCGCGTGTCCATAAATACTGCTTAGCACGCAAAAATTTTTTCCCTTCTAGTGGTGAACAATTTGGAAATTTTGTATTTAGTTGGTGAAATAAAACATATTCATGAGAGCATGTCAATACATTTTCATGTCTAAATAAGCTCAAGCACTCGAAATGCAAAATATAGGACAGAAGGATACATTTTTTTGAGATGGTGGATCTCATTATCACATTGTCTATTGGCGACAAGCGTCTATTGCAAACGCTATTTTGAACAGGCCAAGAAAGTGGTAAATAATTCTAGATTTCAGCTCTAGATTTTCGCGACATTTTAAATAAATATGTGCTTTATAACGACTAATTTTGAATGGTCAGGAAACTACCCTAAAAGCTTCGTCGTACACAACGACGACAGACATCCTTCATTACCTTGAGTGTGGGGATGGTGTCGGTGTATAAGAACTGCAGTAGAGTCCTGAATGTTCTCTGTTTCACGCCAGGAAAGGTAACCTGAGAGATATACGTACACACAAGTAGAAGACAGTTGTGAATTGAGTTAACAGGTCTAATTTGCTACTACAAACTTTCGTGAAAATACAAGAATGAATAATTTAATAGTGAAACTTTTAATCTAATCTGGGATGGTTCTTATGTAAGGATCCTAAATAAAGGTCCTATGAATGTTTGCAGCACAAAATGAAATTTCCCTTGATTTGTATATATACGGTAAATACATATCAACACAGAATTATAATCGTATCGAGTGGCCCAAAATGTACTTTCTTCATAATCACTCGATATTTAAATGGTATAAACTAAGTAATTATATAAATCGGATGTCATCAGAAACAGCAAACTCAGAGTGCAGCCGTAAATCGTTAGTAGAGAATCAATATTACAGATTTATTTTCACGTTTCAGTTTCAAAATTTCATCCAAATTTCTGATTGACTTTAAAAAATTTTAGATTTTAAGCAAAAATTACGAAACTGCCATAGTAAAAATTACTATGGTAGTAATTTTTACCACCATTACTACCATAGTAAAAATAACGAAACTTAGCTTTTAGTTATGAAAAATATATAGACTGCCACTACTCACAATCTTAGCATTACTCTCCCTAAAGTCGCCGGAGAACATGGCGTGCATCATGTCACAGCGAGCCATGAGCATGGCGCGGTGGCCGGCCGCCGTGCCGTCCTCGAGCTGGAAGAGCACGTCCGAGAAATACCGCGCCTCTACGCACACCTCCTGCAGCCGACCGCTCAGGATCTGCCAGTGAAACGATCACATTGAAAGGGCAGGGTGGCCCAGTGGTTACAGTTCACAGTACCAAGATTGGCGCAGAGAGGCGCGGGTTCGATCCCAGCTCTGTGCGCCAGTTTCTGGTCAGAATCGGCGAGGAGGCCGGGCGGTTAAGCAAAGCAGAATAGTGAGTTGCGAGTTCGAGACCTCAAAATGCTGTGAATGTTCTGCGATGTTAAGAATCGGCGACAGGCCTATGGCCCACTAAACGCTGAAACCGCTATACATTTGTAAAATACTTGAATGATGAGGTATTCTTTTTTAAATCTAAACTATGGCAAATAATGTGGTTGTTGGACGGTACGGTTCAGAAGCGTGAAATTATTTTAGTAATGTTCTAATATGATTAAAATGAGAACGAGTGACTGCAATTTCTCAGGTTCAAAATGCACTGCCAACAAAGTTGGTTTCAAATTTTAAGTAAAAAATGTTAAGGTTAGGTACTTACTTCCTAAATGATTGCCAGGTTAGTACGCTCATCGTCTTCCATACCTTTAATACCGTAACATTTTGACTCATTTGCACGCACAAGATCTTGGTTCTAAAGCACCCTTTTTGCTAATGAAGATCATTGATCAAATCATCTCTTTAGCAATGCTCATACATTAAACTAGTGCTAATTCTATAGCCTCTCCAACATTCAACAGTTGGATATTCTAACCATGCTAATTGCTAACCTTGAGGTACTGCAGCTCGATGGTACCGTTACGGAACGGTTCCTGACGTAGTAAACTGTCCGCGTATATGAGCAGCTCTGATAGCTCTAAAAACTCGGCGGCTTGCCGTACTTCGCTGAGCTCTGCGAAGGGCAGACGACATTCCCGACAGAAGATGCTGCCCGTGTACATGAAGTGTACGAGCTGACGCAGGGCAGGGCCGGTGATGAGCTTGCTCAGCGTGATGACGGTCTGGACGGGCACGCATGGCGGGACACAGGCTCGACCGCTCCGGCTCTCCAGTGGCGGCTCGTCTCGTTCCTCCCACTTGGCGGAACAAAGTAAGTGCGTTTTTCAGTCGTTTGGAAGCGCAATGCAATGTAAAAGCAGGGTTAATAAACTCGTGTAGTCCAGTTGTTTAATAATTATTTCATGTAAATATTTTTGTGATAAATTTAGGATCGTTCTTAGTGATAGACTATATATACAGGGAAGATTTATAGACTGCAAAAAAACTATATATTCAGGGAAGTTTTATTGACTGCAAAAAAACTATATAATCAGGGAAGTTTTATGAACCCTCTTGGAAAAATATAATGAAAAATTTTTAAATTTATTCTTCATATCCAATACAAAAAATTTTTGATTATTGCAGATGGAAGCTAAAGATTCTGCGATTTCTATCTTAGAAATTTAACGGAAATAAGTTACAGTTACCAATGACATACTGACTTTCCATGAAAATTAAGAAATAACTTTTAGCCTAGACCCATCAATGGAATAAGATTAATACATTCACACTGGCTAATGTGCACTAAAATCACGCAAGTAAAAATAAGAGACGAGCATACCAGCAAAAAAGGAAGTAAGCTCAACAAAGCTGTAGTATATTGTTGCCATACTAGATACAGCATAACAGCAACAACAGCTCTTGTTGCATCTGGATGGTCATGAAATAGCAGCAATCAACAACTCAATAAAACTGCTGTAAAAAATATCTAAAGCATAATGTATGTGAAGCGTAATAAAGCTGCGCGACTGGTCTACAGTCAATGAAATCGTCCACGTCATAACAGACGTCATCTATTTAAAGCAAGACTTTTCCAAAACTTTAGCTAAGAATTTAATTGACAAGGAAAAAAGGCAGGAGAATTGGGTATTTGTTTGGAGATGTAATATAATCGGACACAATCACCGCTGAATGCTTCAGCGCATCCATTTTAACAGTGCTCCCAAACCAAGTACGTGTAAGAAACACGGGCACGCAGTACGGGGGGCTTGTCACCAGGGTACGTGTAAGAAACACGGGCACGCAGTACGGGGGGCTTGTCACCAGACACCAGGGTACGTGTAAGAAACACGGGCACGCAGTACGGAGGGCTTGTCACCAGGGTACGTGTAAGAAACACGGGCACGCAGTACGGGGGGCGTTGTCACCAGGGTGCGTGTAAGAAACACGGGCACGCAGTACGGGGGCGTTGTCACCAGGGTACGTGTAAGAAACACGGGCACGCAGTACGGGGGGCGAGGGTACGGAGGAGAAGTTGTGGAAATATGCTCACAAATTCACATACTCGGTCAAGCAATTCAATACAATCGTGGGTCACTAAAACATGTCACTTCGCATACTTTTACAACAGTGCTACACATTACAGTGGGCAAAACACATTTTTTTGCGTAGAGCTACTTTTGCACAAAAGAGCAGGTGCACAATGCACATGATTTAGCAACGATAAATATCTTTTTGAAACGCTAAAAATTTGTGAAGTGCACTATGCCAGCAGTGACGACTAGCCAAGTCGATTAGCTGCATGCACGAGAGTGAAGTCACACGCGACACACATCAATGGGCATGTTGAGAGCGTCGAGTGGCCGCACTTGCTCTATGCTGATGGAGGAGAAAGCAGGGTGGTTGAGTGCCTTGTGGATGCCGGGACGCTGGTCCCCCAGTGCGGGACAGGGTGGCGGCTGTAGGGTGTGTACGCTGCTGCGCCGCTTCAATACGTCGCGTAGTCGACAGTTGGCCACGCACCCACTTACACTTGAGATAAGGCACACTACAAATATTTGTATTCAGAGCAAGCAATAAATATTTTACGCTATTTTACAAATGAGTTTGTGACATGATAAAATATAAATAAAATTGGATAAATTGCAAGTGTGTTTATGATTAAATCAAAATGATCTTAATTGGAAATAGATAATCGATGATTATGTGCAGATTAGAAGAACGAGAAATAACAACAAAGTTGTCGAATACAAGTTCAACATATTTGATGGTTAGACTTAGACACTCCCTTTTTTAATGAGTGTACTCACGAGGAGAGGTTGGGTTGCTCCGTCGCTATGAGGCACTCGGTGTCGGAGTTGAAGTTTCCGATGTTGGTGTCGCCGAACGTGCCGCTCACCTGATCACCAATACGGCATTAGTGAGGGAATCTAAGTCGAGTAATGTTAAATGATTATAAATTAGTGAAATAGTCCGAAGGGAAGAGACATTATAAGCAATGTTTAGAGCATATTAATTTAGATAAACATCTTTCTAAAACTATGAAAATAGATGCAGCTGATTTTAATTTACCAATCAACTTTCAAGAACCTGTAAATTGCTTACAATCGTAGCAACAGATGCATAACTGACCATACTGGAGTCCGAGCTCCTGCGCGTCGCGACGCTGTCGGAGAGTTCCGTGAGCAGGACCTTCTGTAGCGCCGTGCTGGCGGCGGCGGCGAGGAAGCGGTGGGCGTGTACGATGGTCGAGCCTGCGATGAGCACGAGGTCCGTGAACGCCGAGCACTGGTACAGGCAGTGCAGGTCTTCAGCGAAGCTGCTCATTGTGACGTCTGGCTGACATGGTGCGGGTTTCGGAGGACAGAAAGGTGCCTGCATAAAAAATTTAGAGAGCAATGAATTTGAAAAGCCCTTTTTTCGTCCCGAATAATGTAGGACTCCAGTTATTTAGGTCACATTAAAATGGCCATCACGCAAACTTGATTCCGTTTTTTTTACAAACTAACCATAATTTTAGCAGTCAGCAGATCAGGAGATTTCAGTTCTGTGCAAGGAAATAAATTTATCTTACGCTTTTCTTAAAGAGTTGTCATCCAATGCTAATTTCCTATTTTCAATTCACTGTCTGAACAAAACGGGACAGTCATCTTTTATGTGCGTTTAGTTTTCCGACTATAACTATTTTCGTCATTCACACAAAGACGCGTTCGTCGACCCAAGCGTTGAGGTAACGTGGCTAGAAATCCTTACATGGGAGGACATAAAAACCAACGACTAAAAAACGGGTAGGAGGTTCTTTTATCATTTGTTCAATCACCATAAATTATTTTTCACCATAAACTAACGATGTAATGATATGGACCCAATAAAAACCAAGGCAGCCCCGTGGTTACAGTTCACCGAGCCAAGATTGGAGCAGTGAGCTATGGGTTCGATCCCAGCTACCTGCTACAGTTCTAGTCAAATCGGCGAGGTGGCCAGGCGGTTAAGTACAGAAAAATTGGAGCATTGAGTTTCGTGTTCGAGACCGAAACAAGCTGTGAATATTCTGCGATGTTAAGATTCGGAGACAGGTTCAACGGTCTAATGAACACTGTTACGGATATAATATAATCTAATAAAAAATATTCACACATGAACGGGACATACATTTGACTTTCGTCTAGCTCTGTATAATGACAAGGTAAGGTCATTGCTTGTATTGGAATCTTAACGGTTAGTTACGTGTAATAATAAAATGCCTCCAGATGACGACGAGTTTAAATAGAACCAGTAACAACTTTTCAGGGTCATTAAATTGGCTGAAGCCGTTATTATTTAATTTGTTTTACAGTCATTTGGGCCAAACTGTGATAAATGAAGAACTTTTTTCACAATTTGCTGTAAATTTTTTGTATATTTGTAGCAAATTTTTACTGTTAATTCCGGTAAATATTAAAGCACGTTTGCAACAATTTTTTGAGTTAAAAGGAAGGGGACAGTTCGGCATGTTTCTATCAACTGCTAGCAAGGCTGACCTGTGCTAAAGGCCGCTGGACCTTCTTGAGGTTAGTAATCCAAAATCTCTGATGTCTTCTTGCTACGAGCGCCGCCCTGACCACGTTCTCGAAGACCTCAGGCACGCCGTAGTAGCTGAGCACCGACGTCTCGTAATACTCGATGCCCATGTCACGCGCCACCGCCCGGCCCTCAGCTGGCATCACCAAGTCACACTCCCGTGTCGCTCTGAAACACAACACTCAAAATTTAATCTTCGAATTTGATTGCAACTATCAATATCGTTAATGTAGAAAATTTTTTTAACTTCAAATAAATTTACTTATTAACTACTAAAATGAGCGTTTGAAAAGTTTATACGAGAATGGTGCTAGATTCTTGGGTGCATAGACGCATAATTTCTGCATCATTTGATAATACGATCTCTAGTGGGGACATGTGTTTTCGGTTCTAGAGAGGAGACCATTAGTTTTTATAAACGGTTACAAACAGAGGGTTGTACTATTGCTTTAATAAAACATATAAATATGCTTTCCATCGTTACCGTATGTGGTGAATCATGACAAATGATATAATATACATTTTTATATAGCGTCAGTGGAATCGATCGTATTTTACATGATAAATATTACAACTCTTTCCATGAATCTTAAAATGACTGCGCAATTATTAAAGAATACCTTGGCGACTTTCGGGCATTAAAAAATGTTGACCCCAACATAGTTGAAATGTATAGATAAATCTCTAGAAAATGCAGTGGCCTATGACCATGAAGAGCAGAAATTTCGGTTCCTAATGTCATACATTATAATTTACCCAGAGTCTTTTATAGTGTAGTTTTTAACCGTATAGTGGGCTTTAAATTCGAGCTTCGTAGTAGTTGCCACTTTTCTGCACATGAAATTAGTTTCACTGAGGCTCAATGCAATTTCTCAAATATATCAAAAATACTTGTTAGGCTGTGTGCATTATTATTCATGATTAAATTTGTTGGTTTCAGTAATGTTTACGATAGCAACTTGTGCAAAACGAAAAATTATTAGGGAACACGAGTAGTGAAAATACAAGGAAACCTTTTTGAGAAATATATACGGTGATATTTTGAGCTCGTGATTTTTAAAATGCAATTGAACAAATTAATTTCTCTACCTATGTTTATTGATTTCAACTATTCTCATAGCCTTTATATCGAATTAGAAAAGCACAATGGTCCGTCGAGTTCAGATGAGATCAGTGTTGCAAGTTGCAGGATGCAGCGACGTAGGTAAGGCGAAAACCTTATAAAAAATTCTTGGACAACTACTGTATTTTGTATCGTCACCCCTGCAAGTAAACATAAGTTAACGGAAACGAAGTGAGCAGATCAATGATTTCAACAAATTTCATTGTGAGAATTAGGCTGAAAATCGCAATAGTCTACTTTGCTTCCTCCATAAATAACAGTCCCAGGCTGAAGTCCCGCCTCCACCAGGTTTCGTCGATAAATCAGTCAGCTCATTTTCTGCCGTACAACTTCAGTCCCTGACAGGATATTACTACTTACCCATGTAAAAGAAACCAAGGTTTAAAAGCTCTCTTCCAATTACCTAATTTATCATAAAAAATTACTTGGAATATAGCTGGAACCTTCCCTACTGAGGTTAAATTAAGGATAAAAATCTAAACTACTTCAGAAATATTGATCATCAGATTATTTTATTAACGCGTTGACTCCGATTGCTTCATCTTGTACTATTATTTCATTTTTTTTGTTCTGTTTTTCAGGTTCGATTTGGCAAGATAAAAGTTTGGCCGCTAACAGAAATATATGTGTAAATTAGTAAAGTAGTCTGCTCAGTGTTACCGATGTGCTATGAGAAATAGAAATTTGAAATCAGACGCTGAAAAAATAGAGAAGCTGGGCATGAAATTTTACTGAGTTAACATGAGGAATCGAAAAAAGGTGGGTGGCTTAAAAATCTAAAACTGGGCCTAATTAAAAAAGAAACAAAGAACATCTCCAATTAAATCTACTTTTGTAGGAAGGCATACACCATACATGCTGTAATGACAAGCGCGATGGCTTGTCAAGCCATCCCTCCGTTTTTCGCTTCCTCATGTTTTTTTCGAATTTAGAAGGCTCCGAAACGGATTACCAACATAGGTCAAACGAGCGGATAAATTACCTGACGAGCGGAGAGCGCTCTCGGCAGTATCGCTTATATTCCTCATCCTTGCAGATGTGCCTGAGGTCGTTCTTGCAGCCGACCAGTAGGATGGGGGTGTTGGGGCAGAACTTCCTGATCTCGGGGTACCATCTGACGCGGCAATTGCGCAGTGAGACAGGACTTGCCACTGAGAAGCACAGCAGCACCACGTCCGATCTGCCGTGGGCACATGCAGGGTCATAACTAGAGAACAATATACATACATTTATGGATTGAGGTGCAATACATGATACTGCATCAATTTATGGATTGAGGTGCAATACATGATACTACATCAATTTATGGATTGACGTGCAATACATGATACCCCGTCAATTTATGGATTGAAGTGCAATACATCATACTGCATTAATTTATGGATTGAGGAGCAATACATGATGCTCCAAGTCAACTTATGAATAAGGATGATTGATAGAGAGTTTTCGATTATCCATCACTATTTGTAGTACCAGCAGAGAAGCATAAAAAACTGTAATTTAGCTGCATTTGAGCATTTCAATATGATTTGGATTGTGGACCTTGCAAGTGGCAGAAAATTGTCACTGCAAAGCAAAATGAAATGACTAAAATGATCGTGAAAACCAGTTGATAATCCTGTGTCATTGTAAGACACGAATTTGATCATTTAGATTAATTAAAATGTTTGTTAGATTCTTGTTAGGAAGGGAATCGAATACTTCAGAAAAAAACGGCAGTTACTTCTCTATATCAAACTGTTATTTTCATAAAATGATGATAACACAATTAGGGTACCCGGTATATGGACCAAATTCATCAGCGTCATGACACTTTACCAGAAAATTAAAAATTATGAATCTAATTGATTGTTTTAGATTTATAGTTTTTCAATGATGTAGTCAAAGTCAATTATGAACATTGTTTTCGTCATTTGATGAACATAATTTTGCTGTTAACAAGCGCAATTGATCATTCGCTAAGTGAACGTAAGTACTTACGCTCTATTTTCTTGTCTATGATTGGTGGATTTTGCTTGAAAGGCCGTCAATGATTGGCTGATGAACTTACGATATCTTAACTTTTTTTGAAAGTATAGGCCCTGATTTTTACATCGCGGATGGAGCAAATAATGAAATGAATTCATTAGCAAGTCTAGTAGAAATATGGTTAATTAATAAGCCAATATAATGCCGCAATAATTGGATTGATACAGCAATGCCACAATAATGGACATGAATCAGTGACTCAACAATCGAACTCTCAATAACTGCGTCAGTTGTTGAAAAATCAGGACCTGTGCACTCTAATAATCCACCCCAAGAATTATAGAAACTCTAAAAAACTCCATTTAATAAGATTTTTACTTAAAAGAATGTTGCGAAATGAATTTTTTACTGCAGTTTCCCGATGGATATCCCATCATATCACTCATTTCAATCAATAACAAATAGAAAATTCCCGGCAGCTGCAGGATGATGCATCCATGTTGCGATGTTTCTTCCGCTGACGCTTCTTTTATTTGAACGTCTTTAATTACCACTCTGTTCTATTTGCGTCAGAGCCGCTCAACAACTACAGTAGTTTTTAATGAAAATAACGCCAACTATACATCTGTTATTTTAAAGAACTCTCTGTCAGTATCTAGTCGAGTTGCAAGATGAGAAAAGCGGCGATGAAAGTGCTGTTACGAAACTTTTCCTTGAATGTTTTTTTTTTTACTTCAATGTCGCCTCGGTATTTGTGGTATTTACGTATGCTTCACTTGACTAAAATCACCGCCGGTGTAGAAAATATTCGTTTACTCCAAGAAGCCTTTTATTAATTAATAAAAATGTCTCACAAACATTACGATAATACGCACTTCAACTGATTTATACCTTCCTCGATTAAGCTTCTTTATACCTAAAGCTTAATAAAATTCGCTATTCGGTATAAGTCTTTTGAGACTAAATAAAGCCGATTTTATTTCATTAGAATGATCAAGTCGGAGCCTAATCTACGGCAACAATAGCACTCGTAGTTCCGAGAAGTAGGGTATATACCGCACCGCTTTCCTCTGTCCAGCCGCCTTGGTGTATTGTCTCCACGCCATCAGTAATTTTAGAACTAACTGATAGCTCGCGATACAAGGTCGCTGCTGTGTAAATGGTTGTTCTTCACTTTGTTTGGGAGGTTTTCAAGTCAACAATTAAACGTTTGCATAAATAATTTGAAAATCACAAGCTATACAACACAATGAAATTGCTTTACTGAGAGAACAATCATCTTTAATGTCCTCAAATTGGGAGCCGTAATACTTCCTTTGTTGAGGACTGCCAGTACGCAGACGTGTTACGGTCATTACTGTCATCGTAAACTCATCCACAATAATTAAACTAATAACGCCAGAAATTGTTATTTTTCAAAGAAATATGCTATTCTAAATACGACTTTCTCATTTTGGGCATCTTTATATAGCCCCGTCCTCTGTGGCCTTCTAATTACAAGGGAAGGCTCGTTGTTTTTTCCTTACTTTTATGGTCAGTCACGCGCGACACAACACTTGCTTTTATTTCAATGGGAGTTGGAAAATATTGTAATAATAGGAGAAATTTCTACAATAAAGATTAAAATAAAATTATAAGTTTATCTAATTTACATGCGCTACTAAGGAAACAAATTTCTAATGTCAACTGAATTGAGCGATCGTTCTTTAGTCCAGGTCTGAGAATGGATGATGAGTTTTTCACGCAATGCTGTTCAATATACTTCTTATGGTGAATAATTGACTTTATTTAGAAATAATTCTAATTGTTGAGGAAGAGAACAGATCGTTTATGGTGAAGCTGGGTGTAGTAACAGGGGGGGGGGTGTGAAGGGGCATTGCGGCAACTGTGAAGAGGTTATATCTGACTAAAAAGTGAGCTAATTAAGCGAGTGTGTTAGCGTGTCGAGAACCTCAAAACCTTTAGAACGTCCTAATAAATTAAGAGAACATCTTAACGTTTCTATTGAATAGAAAAAAAGTAGCTCAAGTCTTTGACGGATAACAGTTGTAGCTAAGTTATAATTTCAAATTGTTGAGAAAATAGGTAGTGAATGATTGAAAATCTCAATCATTGAATTGTGAGTGAAAGAAATGGTCAGTGAGATTGAAAGTAGACTAAATAGTACAGTTGCAGTGGTGGTGGAGTTGCAGGCTAAGCAAATTTACTAGTTTCACGTGCAGCCTGTAGCATGATCAAAATAGCCTTATTCGAAATTTAAGTTAGCTACTAAAAAACATTACGTCGTTCTGTTTACTCAAAGAACGTTTTGACTTTAAATTTGCCCATGGAATAAATTTCTCCCCATTCGTTTAAAACTGTAACCAGACATATATTTTTGAAATCCAGCCATGCTTACCTCTCCATTAAATTTGACTTAAAATACACTAGACTAACCGGCCATATGCGAATCTTCTGTCTTTGTCGTGGTCGCCGAAAGTGTCCCACAGTCGCAGGGAGACGTTCACGCCATCCACCACAACCCAAGAGCGTTCCAGCACCTGACACATGCAAGCGCTTGTGACACATGCCAGGTAGACTTAAATAATCAGGGGCCATACTTTCAAAACTCGCTAAGTGAACGTAAGTACTTACGCTCTATTTTCTTGTCTATGATTGGTGGATTTTGCTTGAAAGGCCGCCAATGATTGGCTTATCAACTTACGATCTCTTAACTGTTTTTGAAAGTATAGACCCAGTACTCAGCTTACATTGTGAATCTTTACTTCATTTTAGTATCAAGTTCCTCTATTAGAAATTTTTTTCCAACTCGAGAAGATAAAAACTCTACGGTAGTTAAATTTAGTATCATAATGTTGAGTATTATAATTTAAATTCATAGCATTTAAAAAATGAATGACATTGCCATGATATCTATTATTCATAGATACTAAATTAAACAAGTGGATACTATGAAGACGAACCGTAATTGTGTTAACCGTTTTCGTTTGTTTGCTTCTTCATTCTGAATGTTTCATCATTTTATATTTTATCGCACGTATTACCGGTGATTCTTCTACATAATCATGATTTTAGTTCGGGTTAGAGTCTATTGAAATCCAAATCAAATGTTAATCATAGATGACAATCTTGGCTATGATCTTCTAGAGCAGAATTTAGGTATCTATACTTGGGCTTTTAAAAGTTCTGCATTAACACTTATGTCTCTTTTTATGATCTATTTACAAGTCAATTGCGATTCTTTAGCAAGTACTTCAACCTATATTCTATCCTATAAATAAAAGGATAGAATTTTTTCCAGCAATCAGAAGCCATTATTTTCAGATCACTACTGTTAAGCTAATAAATATTAAGTTTTATGGTCAATCTATTCGAACATCATTCTGCGTATTTCATTAGCGAACTGATTAGCAGAATAAAAGTACAGAAAATTTATAATATAACAACGCCAACTAAATGTGTCGAAACAAGTAACAGTTACATAAAATATTATATTATATTAAAAAAATATTATAAAAATATTATATTATATTACATATTAAGCACAGAACATAACGTCAAAATGGGGTTCAAGTTCAAAAGCGTTCAGGAAAGAATCAAATTGAGAAGCATTGAAAACCGACGTGGGTTCACAGGAAGTTTGCAAAGAGCCCTGTAAATCGTTTTCACCCAAACCCTGAGTAGCAGGGGGGACATTAAAAGACAAGCAACAGATGGTGAACTCGGTGGTAGTTATTGAAGATCAGTCCCAATTATCGTCAATCAACAGATTTGAATTAGGGTTTGTCGAATTTCCCCTGACAAAAACTCGTAAAATTTTTTCCCGGACAATAAAAAAAGTTACGAAGACAGGCTCGTCACATTAGCTACAATGTTCTACTGCGGATACTTCCTTCACCAGATGAGTAAATTGAGCTCAAGAATGCGCCTTACAACGAACATTTTGCCATAGTAAGAAATTATACAGTAATCTTGTTAACTGACCTCTTTGCAGACGCGGTACTGATCTATTGCCCATACGGTGGGTACATGAGTGTTGAGAAGTTCTACCAGTGAGAACTGCTTGTTGCCGGCACGTGCCCATACCAGACGTGTCTTGCCCACAGCCGTGTCTCCCACGACAACGCATTTCACTAGCTCCTGGTGCGGCTGTTCGTTATCCATACTTCTCTGGGCCCATCACGATGACCACTACTACTGAAAATAATATCTGTTATCAATTAATTAAATCATGTTGCGAATTAATTATTTCCAGAATCAAATCAACCTAAATCACCACGGCTTCACGGAAAACGGACTTTGTTAAAAAATAACTTCCATGTAAATTCAACGACAAATCTTAAATTAAAAGAACAAATATATACATAAATACTGCTCATATTACTAAATTTGCATACACATCTTGGTAGTACATTGAGTGGGCACTGCTTCTCGCGTTTGACCTGCTCTGTCAGTGACATTCATGGGGGTTAGCAGCATAGAACGGTTCATAGTAGCTACTGTACTGTATATTAATTATTACACATAATGCATGACATTCACATAAGTTCTTTTCTGTCTTTTCTCATGCAGGAACGCTTGTTGAAGACAGATTTTTAATAGAAAACTATCTACATTGATGCCTAAAGCAGAAAGAGCGCGGCGTACGCAACCTGGAAGACACATACCCTGAGTGAATCAAGTAGTGAACCATTGCCCCCGAGTCAAACGGCGTGCTGCTTGCATCACATGCCATTAGGATAGCGAGTCAAAAACAACAAAAACTTATTTCTCACTCATTTTATTCGTTTTGGGGCATCATGAATTGCAGTTAAATAAGTAGATAAGTTTCCATAACTCAAAGATTAAACGATTATATAGAATGGTGTAGCAAATGATGAATCAGAAATATTCGTAAGAGCATCAGCTCGCCATTATAGAAGAACATGGCCAAGTAGTTAAAACGTTTGAATAATTATCATAAAATGATTGAGATCTCGTTGCATGCTCATAAACTTTTTCTAAATTGACACGAATTCAAGCCAGGCTAAATGCGGTTACATAGACTAATCAACATGCCACAGAGAACAGAGTGCGGAGCTGTAACTTTAAATTTGCTTCGAATCGAAATGTATTACGCGAAGTATACGGCCGGGAATGCATAAACCTAGCTATGTAAAACGCCAGAGCCCAGCTAGCTTTTCAATTTTTGTCAGCAGGTTGACTATCACTACTTGGAATTCTTTACCAAGACAAGATTTTTCGTTACATCACAGAATCAGGTTATAGAGATACAAATTTTGATTTCAATGGGCCAGCACGTACGCTTGGCACCAGAAAAAATATTCACTTCATGACTGCAGTAAAAATTAGTCCGTTAGTCCGATGTCACTAGAAGCCGATATGATAGCTGAAAGATTTGCAATCAGTATTGAAACTCAAGACTAAAAGTACAGCTACTCGGAACGTGGCAGCGGTATAGGCGCCTGCATACCATAAATTATGCAATAAATACCTATGGATATATCTCATAACTGAAGTGATTAGAAATATAGATTGTCAGATTCCCAACACTCAAAAATTACCTTGCTCATCTGAATGAAGTATTCTACAACACAAAGTGCAGCAAATTTAGGTACTGTTGCAAAAATTCACTTATAGGAACCAATGACACTGCACTACAAAGCGAGAGACTGAACATGGAGTCTGTACAAAATGAAGTTATTAGTCGCGGAATGGTGTCAATTAGGGCCTCCAACGTGCGATGACTGTTATATATAGGGATCAACAGGCAGCTGATTAATAATATTTCGAGATCCACTTCGCGAGCTTAATTTATAAACAAGAGGCGTTGGCAAGTCGGACTAACGCTAACATTTTGAAGGGATTACAGAAGCTCTAGCAAATGTCCCTTTAATGAATATGGCTGATTCCGGGTATATGTCATCTATAGGTCGTCTTCCGCATACAAGTTTATTTCTCCTTGTTATTGATTCAGTACTACTACTGCAACTACTTCAGTAGTTGCAGCATGTCAGACGCAGATATGCAAGTCAAAGTTGCGCTAGCTACACATACAGAAATACAAGGAAGAAACATTACTGTAATGTTCTTGCAATTTACTGTCATTTCCGTTTTTGGCCGTTAGGGACTGGCGAGCGAGTGGCAAGCAAAGAACACAGTTAAATAGTGGTGCGGGCAGAATTGTGAGAGACAATAATTCTAAGCTATTTTCAGCGACATCCGCCAGAAATTTGAAACCTTTAATTCAACGATCAAGGGGAACTTGAGTCAGAATTACGGCATATTAAAACCCCATAATCAAACATCCCTAACTTTTGTGATCGATTATATTACCACTATCACCAGGAGCCCGTGCAGTCGCCCCGTCGTGCAGGTACCTGCCGCTTATCACCAATGCTTCATTAGCCGCAAATGTTTAGTAGGTATTAGTTTCACATTATCCAACTTGATGCGCCAATGATTAGGTTCTCAAATAAGTGTACTTTTTTATATAACGGTAACCAAGAAGATGGGCAACCTGCATCAAAATTTTAAGGTTATCTTGTATTTAGCATTGAACATTTTTACGAAGTAAAAAAAATAAAATCATTCATGACATCAAAAGCATTCTAGTAGCGGCAGCAGCTAGAAGGCCTGACGTACTACTTGTCACGTAGGCCAGTTAGAGAACCATTGTGCTAGACGCTAGAGGATAGAGGAGTTTGTCGGGTGTCAGGAACCTCCAGGAATGAGTTAAGTCATCCGATTGAATTGAATTAGTCACATCCTCAGTCGAGTGCTTTGATGCAATAGGTACTGTTAATCTCTGATGCAGTAGGTACAGTAGGTGCTGTTTGGTAGTTAGCGAATGAGCTTCTCAAATGTCCAGAGGACATGTTTATACAATGGACAATTTCAGTCCATTGTATAAACAATTTCTTCTACTTCAGCAATACGCGAACAGCTTGCGAGGAAAAACCTTCGGTTATTACAGTGAATTATTTCGGCAAATTTATTCCTGAATACTGCTAAATGAACTGACTTTTAACGGGAATAGTGTATTGATATATGGGTAAAAAAAATTATAAACTATACTGTCCTCGCTTGCATGATCGTAGTTGTATGTAAACATAGGATATTTATCTTTACAGTGCGGTATCAAAAATTTATTTGGACGAACATGAGATTTTTATTTTGGCATCCAAACTATCGATTATTTGATATCCCTACGCAGTCAGCAAAAGTCAAAAGTTGATGGCTTTAACCCAGTAATTCATTTAGGAGACCACTGTGTCCATTTACCGGCACTCCGAATCGGCACTTTGCCGAGCTTCTCTGAGGACTAAAGTGCAAAACACAACTCGTGCGAAGCTAAACATTTCGCAATTCCCACAATTCTGAATATACAGGGGTCGAAACACCTGACCTTTTGATATCGTAATATTTAAACATCATACAAACAATGAAAACGTGACATATTTTTATGTTTTGTTTTTTATTGTTGTGCTAATTGATATTTGATCCCTGCATGGAATATTTTAGAATATTTTTGTGACTATAACCTATAAATGGCAAACGTCTTTGGCTTTCAAAGAGGCTAATTGTTGGTGCCCGTATGGCAGGCAAAGCATGGGTCTCTATCAAAAGTAATGCTTTTGAAATGAAAGGAATAACTTCCTCATCAAAGCGCGGGTCTGGCCGACAGTCGAAGTTGTCAGAGAGACCATCGTTACCTAAATAGAAATTTGATCGTCAATCGAAAGATCACAACTGTTAAAATTACTGCAGACCTCAAACTCCTACAGAACTCAGTTTCCATAGACTGTCCACCGAAAGCTGCACAGATCTGGATTCTGCGGGCGAGGCCGAGATACAATTGGAAAAACTCTGGTTTCATATATAAATGCTTCAAAGCGTTCCGAGTAGTGTAAAACCCTCTAGAATTGGTCCCTTGAGCTTGAGCAGTGAAAAAATGTGACTTTCTCTGACGAATCATCGTTTATCTTATTTCTAACCTCTGGTCGAGTTTCCCTTAGGAGACAGCCAAAAGACATTTAGTACCGACATGCCTCTTGCCAGCCGTATAAATAGCGGGGGATCTATGATAATCTGGGGTTCTATTTCATGAAAATCCGGCAGAATAATGATTTCTCATCGTTGATGAGAATGATTGAATCCAATCCAAATTCATCCAATGATTGAAGCACAGTTTGCGGGGGAGTGGGGCGACGCAATCTTTCAAGAAGATAATGCCTAGATCCATGCAGCTGGATCGTTAGACATGGCACGAAGAACATTTTCATTAAGTTGAGCATCTCATTTGGCCACAGCAATCCCTAAATCTGAATATTATCGAGCATTTATGGTCGATTTTAGAGATGCAATTCTGATATCGATTGCCGTCACTATCGTTAAAACGCTTCAGGGAGTTTCAACTTAAAAATGGGAGATTTTTTCAACATTAATTTTTTGAATAAAACGCAACTTTTCCGCAACTAATCAGCTTCAATTCCCACTATTCAGAACAGATCTGCATGAAATTCATAACTAGAATAATTATTGGCAATACACCGCGATAGTAATGGTTACAGATTTTTGGGAAGTTTTTTTTATGTAAAGGAAATGTTCTAATAACTTAGAAGTTTTTGGAATATTCTGAATGAAAATGTCATCTATTTTTAGTTTGAAGCTATTTCGAGTGTTTTCCGTACCCTCTCTTAGTGGAACCTTATCAGTAAATTCTAGAATACATGTTTCTGCAGAAAAATAACTTTCATACCTGATCAGAAAGTGGTTCTTCGAGCCACACGTTACAGTATATTACTAGAATGCATGTGTCTTGAGAATCTTTTAGTGTGTTTTCGTTGAAGTAATGAACAAATGTTAATGAAATGTTTCCACTAGATTTTAGCATTTCAGGATTATCGACGCGAAAAAAAAACTATACTATCTATAAAACTTTCTCAATTTTACTGAGGCCTGTGCCTATTTAACTACTTATCGTTAACAGCTCATCTTATCCGATTCTTCAAATTATTGATCGTATTACGGCTACTCTACGGAACCCCTTGAATGTACATTCCTAACCACCCAACGGTTATGTTTAGCTGATAGCCTTTTTTCGATTTTGCCTTCGTTTGCGAGAAATACGACTAGACCGAGAATCAACCGGCATTTCTGAGGCCGATTTTCAAATTTGCAGTGACCAAGATACA